CCAGTTGGGGAACTCAGTAGCATCAGGAAACTTGGCGCGCCAGGCGTCGCTAAGCCGAGCGAAGCAGCGCTGCTCAGTGTGAAAACCTGTGCACTGGCGACTAGCGCGGGGACCTGTGCGGATGATTTAGGGGCAGCGACCAGGACCCCCAGAAGCCCCACGCCCGGCATACCAGTCAAGAAGCTGCTGGGAAGTGGGGGTCTGGCGCTGACGCTGATGCTGCTGCTGCTGCTGCGGCTGCTGCTGCTGCTGCGGCTGCTGCTGGCCCTGACCACCACTGCCACCACTGCTCCCTCCTCCCCCACCTCCGCTGCTGCCGCCTCCACCGCTCCCAGTGCCTCCGCCGCCCCCACCACCACCTCCACCGCCTCCACCACCCCCACCACCGCCTCCACTTCCACCACCTCCACCACCTCCACCACCTCCACCCCCACCGCCCCTGCCACCCCTGCCGCCCCTGCCGCTGCGACGCTTCCCACTAGGAGCGGAAGCAGCTCCGACCCCCTCAGCACCAAGGTAGTCGTGAGCAGCAGCTGCGGAGGCGTAGGAGGGGGTGAGAGGGGAGGGGGAGCACCCCTCAAAGAGGGGAGAGCAAGGAGTGCCACGAGCAGCACCTACAGCGAGGATGTTCTTCTCTGCTGCGAGGAGGTGCTTCTCGAAGTCGTCTACAATGAGAGTGGTGGGGTCTAGCGCTAGGAAGTGGTCCCTGACAGAGCTAAGAGTGTCAGGGAGGCGGGTAACGAGAAAATAGAGAGTGAAGTACATCGGGGGGGGTTTGCGGCGCAGAACTCAGCTGAAAGGGCGGCACGAAAGCGAGAGTCAGTAGCGCGCAGGTGAGAAACTAGGTCCGCAGCAGTGGTGAACGAGGAAAGATCGGGGAACAGGTACGGGAGCATGAGTCGACCTATGGCTGCAGTGGCCGGGGAGGAGTAGCGCGCAACTACAGCGTCGTACAGTGTCTTAGCAGTTCTGTGCTGGCTGAAACGCGCTCGCTCAGTAATCGGCAGGTGGTTCCTAATAGCTAGGCGTGCAGCAGCATCACGAGTCTGCCACTGGGAGCGTTCTAGAGCAGGAGCATGAGCAGCAGGAGCAACGGCAGTGCCAGAGACGTAATCAAACAGGGAAACGCCATCTTTGGCATCAGTCAGAAGGAACAGCTGGAGATCGTCTAACCATACAGTGAACTCGATGGGACGACCGTCAGGCTCGAACGCTAGAACGTTAGGCGTCGCCATATTGGCTTAAGGCAGGAGGCAGCAGGCAGCAGGCAGAGGCAGCAGGCACCAAGTAGGAGGCAGGAGGCAGGCAGGAGGCAGGGGCAGCAAGCAGCAGGCAGGCAGCAGGCAAGCTGCAGGCAGGCGGCAGCAGGCAGCAAGCAGGCAGGCAGGCAGGCGGCAGGCAGGCGGCAGCAGGCAGCAAGCAGGCAGGCGGGAGCAGGCAGCAAGTAGCAGGCAGGCAGCAGGCAGGTTGCAGGCACGCGGCAGTAGGCAGCAAGCAGGCAGGCAGGTAGGCTGCAGGCAGCAAGCAGGCAGGCGGCAGCAGGCAGGCAGGCTGCAGGCAGGCGGCAGCAGGCAGCAAGCAGGCACGCAGGCAGGCTGCAGGCAGTAGGCAGGCAGGCGGCAGCAGGCAGGGAGAAGGCAGGCTGCAGACAGGCGGCAGGCAGGCGGCAAGCAGGCAGGCAGGCAGGCTGTAGGCAGCAAGCAGCAGGCAGGCAGCAGGCAGGCAGCAGGCAGGCAGCAGGCAGGCAGCAGACAGGCTGCAGGCAGGCGGCAGCAGGCAGCAAGCAGGCAGGCGGCAGCAGGCAGCAAGCAGCAGGCAGGCAGCAGCAGGCAGCAAGCAGGCAGGCAGGCAGGCTGCAGGCAGTAGGCAGGCAGGCAGAAGGCAGGCTGCAGACAGGCGGCAGGCAGGCGGCAAGCAGGCAGGCAGGTTGCAGGCAGCGCGTGGCTACGGGCAGCGCGCGCGGCCGCAGGCTACGTGCGGCGACGGACTGCACGAGCTGCGGGCTGCTTGCAGCTGCGGGCTGTGCGTGGCTACAGCGTGCGCGGCTGCATTCTACGTGCGGCTGCGGGCTGCGCGGGGTGACGGGCCGCACGTGCGCGGCTGCGGGCTGGTCGCTAAGCTACGGGCTACGCTGGGCGACGCGCCGCGCTGGCGTGGCCTAATCAGGTTTCGCACGGGCGGCTTAAGGGGCGCACAGGCGGGGCCGAAACGGGCTACGCGGGCTGCTGAGACGGCGCACGTGGGAAAAAAAAGGACCGCCCGAGGCGCGCGCGGGCAGCCGAGGCGCGCGTAGGCACTAGGCAAGACAGGCAATCGTGGTGGGCCCTAATCGTAGGTCCTAAGGACATATGCTCTATACCATGTTAGAATCTTACGGCAAAGTTGGGTGTCGACTATCGAGGGGAAAGATACAAAGAAAAAACCTAAGGGGTTGTACCCCACAGTGAGTACCCCACTAAGCCTAACCAAACTATAACAGATATACACATATGTTTGACAAGAACGCGAGAGAGAGAACGAGAGAGAGAGAACGAGAGAGAGAGCGAGAGAGAGAGAGAGAGAGAGAGAGAGAGAGAGAGAGAGAGAGAGAGAGAGAGAGGGAGGGAGAGAGAGAGAGAGAGAGAGAGAGAGAGAGAGAGAGAGAGAGAGAGAGAGAGAGAGAGAGAGAGAGAGAGAACGAGAGAGAGAGAACGAGAGAGAATGAATGAGAGATAGAGAGAACGTTCAATAAACTATGGTTTCGAAATAAGACATGAGTTATAACAAGATCTAAGCCGACCTAGTTTAGATCTAAGTCGTCCTAGGTTAGAATCAAGTCGACCTAATTTGTAATGATCTAATTTGACTCAAAATGATAAGTTAGGGCAGTTCTTACCTTGCACTAGTAGGTGGATCGTGTGTCTGGTGGGAGCTCAACTAACGAGAAGGAGGAGCGGGAGAGAAAAGGAACAAGCAAACCCTAAGGTAGTCTCAGATTCGTCGCAAAGATTTTTTTCCTATTAATTTTGTTGTTCATGGTGAACATCCAAGCTGTCCTAGTCGTTTGAGATTGATCGCAGAATTGAAAGGTCTCCGGTTCGCTTGCTGCTGATTCATTGTTTTGATATCTGGCAAGTAGATGAAGTACCACTTAGTGTCATACTACAGCATAATATACAGAATTTGAAGTTGTACAAATTTATATGATTACGAAAAACGCTTCGCAACCCTAAGACGATTTAGTCGCCTCTTGTTTTTTTTTTTTTCACAAGAGTTTATAGTTAAAATACATACCAGAGAGCTTTTGTAAAATGCTTCGCAACCCTAGGACGACCTTGTCGCCTCTTGTTTTAACTGCGCGCAGTGTCGATTGAGCCGCTCAGCCGTCTTGTTTCCCTGCAGCTGGCGTTCAGAGACGACTCTCTGTCCGCTCGTACACCCGCACCTGCTCGTTCGATTCAGCACAAGGAGAAAACTGGAGAGTTATTTAGTACGCTCAAGCGCGGTCAGCGGTTCTTTGCTTCCGTGTCCGCACGACCATCAACCATCCTCGCGCCCCGCAGCTCTCGTCCCCTCCAGTACCGCACTCTTCCTTCCCTTTTGTTCCGCTTCGGGTCATCCTTCCGCAGCCTCCGCAGCCTACGCCGCCGCCTCCTCGTCGCCGCCGTCCTACAACGCTTAATATCCGACCGCCATAATACGTTGAACGTTCTGAAGACACCCCGCATCATCCCGCGTTCCTGCCTCCACTCTTCCCCGCCACCTTCCCCACCTCCCTTGCGTACCGCCGCTTGCGCGCATGGCTTCGCAACCCCCCGTCGTCCCCGTCACTGGCGTGATATTCGATATAAGAACGATCGTTGACTCTGCAGCCGGCGGCGGAACCACAAGAGGCGTGGTTTTAGAAGACTCAGGGAAGGCAGGCGAAGGGGAGGGGTCACGGGTTGCGGGAGCAGCGGACAGTGCGGGAGTGGTTGGGGGTGGGGGTGGTAGTGGGGGAAAGAGCAGCGGAGGCGCGGAGAGAGGGGCAGCGGCGGGGGGGGGAACCGAGGGGGGGGTGTTCAAGGTGCCCGGGAGAACCATTCGGACGCTGTGCCGGTTGCACTATAGTGGCGTGCACATGGTGAGATGCGGTGCAATGAGGTGAAGTGAGGTGAGGTGAGGGTGAGGGTGAGGGTGAGGGTGAGGGTGAGGGTGAGGGTGAGGGTGAGGGTGAGGGTGAGGTGAGGTGAAATGAGATGAGATGAGATGAGATGAGATGAGATGAGATGAGATGAGATGAGATGAGATGAGATGAGATGAGATGAGATGAGATGCGATGCGATGAGATGCGATAAGATGAAATGACATGAAGCGAAGTGAATTGAAGTGAATTGAAGTAAGATGAGGCAAGGCGAACGGTGGTGCTTAAAGCCTAACCTATAATAGGTCACCCGGGGTCAATTTGCAGGGTCGGTCAAGTGAACTGGTCGTGTGCCTTTGGGTCGGATGTGAGCTTTGCCGTCATACAGCCAAGATGTTTCACACATGATGTCCTTTAAGTTTGTTAACACCAGATCCCATCAAGTTGTTCGTTCCTCAAATCCTCCCGAGGCACATGTTGCATGTGTCTCTGCGCTGCTCTCTCCCCATTGCGCTCACCACTGGTCACTACAGCATCAAAGTGCTCCTCTCTCGGCCCATCTTCACCTATTGCTGCACTTTCCACTGCGTCCCTCCCTCCTCGCCCCCCCTGCACGCTCTTGCATGCCGTCTGCCTGGCCATGCTTGCACGTTCTGCATGCTGTGGCTGTGGCTAACTGCTGACATGTGTGTGCGTGTGTGCGTGTGTGCGTGCGTGCGTGCGTGCGTGCGTGGGTGTGTGTGTGTGTGTGTGTGTGTGTGTGTGTGTGTGTGTGTGTGTGTGTGTGTGTGTGTGTGTGTGTGTGATTTCTTATGCCATGATACCATGCCATGCTGCATACCTGCTATGCCATGGCATGATATGGATTCCTTGTTCCAATACAACCATGTGCCCTCAGGCTGTTATTCTCTACGGCAGTCATCGTGACACCCTGGAACAACAGGTACACACCCCCCTACCCCCCTCCCCCCCACCCCCTCTCCCGTGTCAGTGTGCTGTTGCTGGTCATCCCTTGCACTCCAATAATGCCTGCCCCGTGCTTCTGATCCTCCTATCTTCTCTCCCTTCCGACCCCCCTGTTCACCACCTCCTGTCCCTCCCTGCAGACCATTTCTGACAAACTCTCAACATTTATTTCTTCCTCCCCTCCCCTACCCTCCCACCCGTTTCCCCTTCTCTCCACCAGTTCCTCTCCCTGCAAGCATCCCTGGCCGCTGACAAGGCCACCGCCCCCCTTGCCTCCCTCGTCTCTCCCATCTTCCTCCCCCTTGCTGCCACCACACTTGCTTCGTCTCCTGCCACTCCTCTCCCGCTCTCTCTCCTCTGGGACCCCTCCTCTTCCTCCTGCTGCGATTCCTGCCCATCCGCTGCTGCGCCGCCCTTCCCCCCGTCCACCACGCTCGTAGTGCTGGGTGGAGAAGCAGGAGAGGAGGTGCGAGTGCTGGCAGGTGCGCGCATGGGGTGTGGGGCAGACGGCAGGGTGTGGGGCATGGGGTATAGGGCTTGGGGCGAGCCCTCACGCCCTTGCCTTCCCTCACGCCCTTGCCGTCCCTCGCGCCCTTGCCGTCCCTCACGCCCTTGCCTTCCCTCACGCCCTTGCCGTCCCTCGCGCCCTTGCCGTCGTCCCTCACGCCCTTGCCGTCCCTCGCGCCCTTGCCTTCCCTCACGCCCTTGCCGTCCCTCACGCCCTTGCCGTCCCTCACGCCCTTGCCGTCCCTCACGCCCTTGCCTTCCCTCACGCCCTTGCCGTCCCTCACGCCCTTGCCGTCCCTCACGCCCTTGCCGTCCCTCACGCCCTTGCCGTCCCTCACGCCCTTTCCGTCCCTCACGCCCTTGCCATCCCTCACGCCCTTGCCGTCCCTCACGCCCTTGCCGTCCCTCACGCCCTTGCCGTCCCTCACGCCCTTGCCGTCCCTCACGCCCTTGCCGTCCCTCGCGCCCTTGCCTTCCCTCACGCCCTTGCTGTCCCTCACGCCCTTGCCGTCCCTCACGCCCTTGCCGTCCCTCACGCCCTTGCCTTCCCTCACGCCCTTGCCGTCCCTCACGCCCTTGCCGTCCCTCACGCCCTTGCCGTCCCTCACGCCCTTTCCGTCCCTCACGCCCTTGCCATCCCTCACGCCCTTGCCGTCCCTCACGCCCTTGCCTTCCCTCACGCCCTTGCCGTCCCTCACGCCCTTGCCGTCCCTCACGCCCTTGCCTTCCCTCACGCCCTTGCCGTCCCTCGCGCCCTTGCCGTCCCTCACGCCCTTGTCGTCCCTCGCGCCCTTGCCTTCCCTCACGCCCTTGCCGTCCCTCACGCCCTTGCCGTCCCTCACGCCCTTGCCGTCCCTCACGCCCTTGCCTTCCCTCACGCCCTTGCCGTCCCTCGCGCCCTTGCCGTCCCTCGCGCCCTTGCCGTCCCTCACGCCCTTGCCGTCCCTCACGCCCTTGCCGTCCCTCGCGCCCTTGCCGTCCCTCACGCCCTTGCCGTCCCTCACGCCCTTGCCGTCCCTCGCGCCCTTGCCGTCCCTCACGCCCTTGCCGTCCCTCACGCACTTTCCGTCCCTCACGCCCTTTCCGTCCCTCACGCCCTTGCCGTCCCTCACGCCCTTTCCGTCCCTCACGCCCTTGCCGTCCCTCACGCCCTTTCCGTCCCTCACGCCCTTGCCGTCCCTCACGCCCTTGCCGTCCCTCACGCCCTTGCCGTCCCTCACGCCCTTGCCGTCCCTCACGCCCTTGCCGTCCCTCACGCCCTTGCCGTCCCTCACGCCCTTGCCTTTCCTCACGCACTTGCCGTCCCTCACGCCCTTGCCTTCCCTCACGCCCTTGCCGTCCCTCACGCCCTTTCCGTCCCTCACGCCCTTGCCGTCCCTCACGCCCTTGCCTTCCCTCACGCCCTTGCCGTCCCTCACGCCCTTGCCGTCCCTCACGCCCTTGCCGTCCCTCACGCCCTTGCCGTCCCTCATGCCCTTGCCGTCCCTCACGCCCTTGCCGTCCCTCACGCCCTTGCCGTCCCTCACGCCCTTGCCGTCCCTCACGCCCTTGCCGTCCCTCACGCCCTTGCCTTCCCTCACGCCCTTGCCCCCAACGGCTCTCCCTGTCCCACCCACCGATCCCACCCCACCAGGCCCAACAGCGGCTTCCCTCACCTCTTCCCCGTCCTCCTCCTCGCCCTGCTCTCCTCTGCTATGCCACCGCCCTGCACCGCAAGGCACACTGCAAGAAACAGTGCAAGGGGAACTGCAAGGTGGGGCTGTACTGCCGGACATGGAGCTGCTATCGCCCCTGGTGGCCCGATTGAGCCAGCAGGTCAGCATCATACAGCTGTGGATGTGCGTGTGTGTATGTGGATGGTTTGAAAAGGGTGTGGTTGTTCCATGACAGTTCGCACCTAACATTGTCCATGCTCGAGACCGTTCCGTTACAGATCCACAGCTTTCGTTTCCCCAGCAGAATTGTATGCTGGTTTCGGGTTTTTGTGACGAGATGTAGGTTGATTTATGCTTGTGTGTCTCAATACGCTTCCATCTTGTCCCATTCCATCCCACCCCATTGCATCCCATCCCATACTCATCCCATCCCATCCCATCCCATACTCATCCCGTCCCATCCCATCCCATCCCATCCCATCCCATCCCATCCCATCCCATCCCATCCCATCCCATCCCATCCCATCCCATCCCATCCCATCCCATCCCATCCCATCCAATCCCATCCCATCCCATCCCATCCCATACTCATCCCATCCCATCCCATCCCATCCCATCCCATCCCATCCCATCCCATCCCATCCCATCTCATCCCACCCCATCCCATCCCATCCCATCCCATCCCATCCCATCCCATCCCATCCCATCCCATCCCATCCCATCCCATCCCATCCCATCCCATCCCATCCCATCCCATCCCATCCCATACTCATCCCATCCCATCCCATCCCATCCCATGCCATCCCATCCCATCCCATCCCACCCCATCCCGTCCCACCCCATCCATACTCATCCCATCCCATCCCATCCCATCCCATCCCATCCCATCCCATCCCATCCCATCCCATCCCATCCCATCCCATCCCATCCCATCCCATCCCATCCCATCCCATCCCATCCCATCCCACCCCATCCCATACTCATCCCGTCCCATCCCATCCCATCCCATCCCATCCCATCCCATGCCATCCCATCCCATCCCATCCCATCCCCTCCCATCCCATCCCATCCCATCCCATCCCATCCCATCCCATCCCATCCCATCCCATCCCATCCCATCCCATCCCATCCCATCCCATACTCATCCCATCCCATCCCATCCCATCCCATCCCATCCCATCCCATCATCCATCCCATCTCATCCACCCATCCCATCCCATCCCATCCCATCCCATCCCATCCCATCCCATCCCATCCCATCCCATCCCATCCCATCCCATCCCATCCCATCCCATCCCATCCCATACTCATCCCATCCCATCCCATCCCATCCCATCCCATCCCATCCCATCCCATCCCATCCCATCCCATCCCATCCCATCCCATCCCATCCCATCCCATCCCATCCCATCCCATCCCATCCCATCCCATCCCATCCCACCCCATCCCGTCCCACCCCATCCATACTCATCCCATCCCATCCCATCCCATCCCATCCCATCCCACCCCACCCCATCCCATCCCATCCCATCCCATCCCATCCCATCCCATCCCATCCCATCCCATCCCATCCCATCCCATCCCATCCCATCCCATCCCATCCCATCCCATCCCATCCCATCCCATCCCACCCCATCCCGTCCCACCCCATCCATACTCATCCCATCCATCCATCCCATCCCATCCCATCCCATCCCATCCCATCCCATCCCATCCCATCCCATCCCATCCCATCCCATCCCATCCCATCCCATCCCATCCCATCCCATCCCATCCCACTCCATCCCATACTCATCCCATCCCATCCCACCCCACCCCATCCCATCCCATCCCATCCCATCCCATCCCATCCCATCCCATCCCATCCCATCCCATCCCATCCCATCCCATCCCATCCCATCCCATCCCATCCCATCCCATCCCACCCCATCCCGTCCCACCCCATCCATACTCATCCCATCCCATCCCATCCCATCCCATCCCATCCCATCCCACCCCACCCCATCCCATCCCATCCCATCCCATCCCATCCCATCCCATCCCATCCCATCCCATCCCATCCCATCCCATCCCATACCATCCCATCCCATCCCATCCCATCCCATCCCATCCCACCCCATCCCGTCCCACCCCATCCATACTCATCCATCCCATCCCATCCCATCCCATCCCATCCCATCCCATCCCATCCCATCCCATCCCATCCCATCCCATCCCATCCCATCCCATCCCATCTTATCCCATCCCATCCCATCCCATCCCATCCCATCCCATCCCATCCCATCCCATCCCATCCCATCCCATCCCATCCCATCCCATCCCATCCCATCCCATCCCATCCCATCCCATCCCATCCCATCCCATCACATCCCATGCCATGCAATCCCGTCGATGCCATGCCATCCCATGGCGCCCCATGGCACACCACACCACAGGCATCACGCCATGCCATGATCCCCTACACCATGAAGTGGTCTCGAGAGCTCGACTTCCTCAAGGCACGTGCGCTCTTCCCTCTCAGCCCACATGCCCGCGTGCCCATGTGCCATCTCTTCATGGCGTGCTGCCCCAAGCTGTGACAGCAACATGCAATTTGTTCCCCAGCACATGCTTGTCTGTACCCTGTTCGCCCCTCTGCATCCTCAGCAGCATGCCTGCCATGTCCCAATTGCCAGCTTCTGATACGTATCATCAAGTCTTTGCCTACATGCCTGTCTGCCATGCCCTGACCGCCAGCTACCTGCCTCAACGACCATCCCTCACATCCTCTCACTCATTCTCCTCTCTCCGATGTCGCCACGTCTCCTCGTTTTTCTCCCCTCTTTCACATTGCAATGCATGCATGGACCATCTCACTGCAGCGCAGAGCGTTCCCCCTTCTTCCATCACCATCACCATCACCATCACCATCACCATCACCATCACCACCACCATCACCATCACCACCACCATCACCCTCAGCATCAACATCGCCAATGCCAGCAGCACCTGCCCTTCTCTTCTCTCCCCTCATCCTCTCGCAACCTCTTACTGCTTCGGATAGTCACAACCACAGCAGCAGCTTCTCACAGCTGCCTTGGCCTTCCACATCAAGCCCTACTCTTGACAGCCCTTCTGTTGTGTTACATAAAGCAACGGACGAGATCGTCCAGGTGGACGCATCAATGGACGGGGTTCATCTCACATTCTCACAGCCCTTCCAACACCTTCTTGAGTAAGTTGTCCTTTCCATTGCTCCCTCCCATCCCTTCCTGTCTCTTGACTGCTGCTTGACTGTCTCTCTGACTGGGTCTCTACTCCTTTCACTCCGAGCCGCTCCGCTCTGGCCTTTCCAGCTCTAGCCCATCGAACCCTACTCTCACGCTTTCTCTCCCCTCTCCTCTCTCCCCTCGCATCCCCCCTTACCCTAATTCCACACAAGTCATAAATTAATTTCCTCGTCTCCACCGTCTCTTGTTTTCCAGTTTTTTCCAGCCTTTCCCATCCCCTCTCCACTCTCTTCCTTCACCAGCCATTGCAGCAGCAGCTCGGGCAGCCTCAAAATAATCGACCCATTGCCCGCAGTTCTCCCGTTAACTGACCGAGTGAAAACACTTTCTCTCCTCTCCGATCTGCTAGCCACCACCAATGATACTGGAAATCCACCCGCTTCACCTGTTCTCCGGGTTCCGCGTTTTGTACAGGTGTGTTTTTTCAAACCTCTAAGACGTCTCAAAAGTGAGTCAAGCTCTTGAGGAGATGCCGGGGGGCACGGTGGGAGGAAGAATGGGGGTAGGGGAGGGGGATGGGGAACGGTGGGGTGGAGAGATGAGGGTGGTTGAGGAGATGGGAGGGAGGGAGAGTGCAGGTGTCATAGGGGGTTGGGGACAGTGTTCGATAACATGGGTGGGAAGGGAAGCAGGATGCAGTAAGCTGGTTAAAGGGGCTTTAGTAGGTGTACGGTGGGATGGTTGACGGTGGTGGGTGTAAGGGTTTAGGGTTTAGGAGCTGTTGTCTTTTGAATCGGAATTGTGCAGGAGCTCCGTTCTCTATCTACTTGAGCCTTCCTCTCATTTCCTTCCCAACTCCCTTCCCCCCTCTCTCCGCCCCGGTGTCTCGCCCACCCAAACACCTCTCCACTCCTGTACCTACAACCTCAAACTGTTTCACCCCATTCCCCCAGCCACTCACCCATCCGCCTGCCTCTCGACACCTTCCAACCCTCTTCGTCCGGGCATCCTTTTCCTCCCCCCCATGGGCCATCAGGTGCCGGACATAAGGCAGACGACAGCAGTGCTGGCAGCAATGGCAGCAGTGGGGGTGCGCCTTCCAGTCATAGTCAAGCCGCGCATTGCATGTGGCGCTGCTGCCAGCCATGCCATGGTATTGTTAGAATTCCTATGTTCTAGCATGCTAACACTTGTGACTGTACACCAATCGTGGTGTACAGTTGGGTTGGGACTACACCCAACTTTGGGTGCCAATCCAACCCAATTGTTGTGGAGCCCCCAAATGCAACCCTATGGGCCATAGGGTACCCCACTTCACAAAGTGAGGCCAACCCAACCCAATGGGCCATAGGTTGGCCCACTTCCCCAAGTGTGGTCAACCCAACCCAATGGGCCATAGGTTGGCCCACTCCCCCAATCCCACCTCCATCCTTTCCCTTCCAACCTTCTCTTCCCAAACCTATGTATGCTTGTTCACTTTTTAATCAACCTAATGATTCAGTTTCCAATCTTCTCATGGTATCAGAGCAATTTTTTTCTAAGGCCTTACCTTCCCCCTCCAGTTTTTTTTCCCAAGGGCCCACCATACGCTTCCCTCACGCCGCGACATCACCGTCGCCGTCGTCCTCCCTTCCCACCGCGACCTTTCCGTCGCCGTCGTCCCCGCCCCCCTCCCCCCCCCCCCCACCCCCCCCCCCCCCCCCTCCCCATCTGGGCACTTTCTCGCCACGGCCTCCCCGCCGCCGCGTCCCGCGGATTCCGCCGCCGCGTCCCGCGGATTCCGCCGCCGCGTCCCGCGGATTCCGCCGCCGCGTCCCGCGGATTTCCCCGCCCGTGCCTCTCCGCCCACGGATTTCACTGCCGCGACCGCTACGTCGCCGCCCTCTGAACCCGCCGCCGCGACCTTTCCGTCGCCGCCTGCCCTCCCAGCCGCCGCGACCTTTTTCGTCGCCGCCTGCCCTTCCAGCCGCCGCGACCACGCCGTCGCCGCCTGGCCCTTCCGCCGCCGCGACCTTCTTGTCGCCGCCTGCCCGTCCCGCCGCCGCGACCACGTCGTCGCCACCTGCTGTACCAGCCGCCGCGACTGCACGTCGTCGCCTGCCCTTCCCGCCGCCGCGACTTCACGTCGCCGCCTGCGACTTCACGTCGCCGCCTGCACATTCCACCGCCGCGACTCCGTCGCCGCCTGTGCATCCAACCGCCGCGACTGCCCCGTCGTTGCCAGCACGTCCCGCCGCCGCAACTGCACTGCCTTCGCCTGCAATTTCGGCCGACGTGACTGCACCGCCGTCGCCCGCGATTTCCGCCGCCGCGACTGCACCGTTGCCGCCTCCGATTCCCGCCGCCGCGACTGCGCGTCGCCGCCTGCGCATCCCGCCACCGTGACTACCCCCCCTCCCCGCCGTGACCGCGCCGTCAACGCCCGCGGTTTCCGCCGCCGCGACCACATCGTCGCCACCTGCCCATCCCGCCACCGCGACCCCATCGCCCCCTGCATATTCCGCCGCCACTACACCCCCCCCCCCTCCCCCCCCCCCCCCCCCCCCCCCTCACTGCTCTCTCCCCGCCATTTCAGCCGCCGCAGCAGCGGCAGCAGCGGAGCAGTGGCAGCAGCTACAGCAGCGGCAGCAGCGACATCAGCCGTGGCAGCCGCACCCGTGCCTGCATTCCCCTCTCCCCCCCTCCCTCCTCCTCTCCCTCTCCCCTCTCCTCGCAGCACGGCAGCAGCTACAGCAGCGGCAGCAGCGGCAGCGGCAGCGGCAGCAGCGGCATCCCCGGCAGCAGCGGCAGCAACGGCAGCAGCGACATCAGCGGCAGCAGCGGCAGCCGTGCCAGCCACACCCGTGACTGCACCCTCCTTCCCCTCCCCCCTCTCCCCCTCTCCCTCTGCCTCTCCCTCTCCCCTCTCCTTACAGCAGCGGCAGCAGCGGCAGCAGCGACATCAGCGGCAGCAGCGGCAGCAGCAGCAGCAGCAGCAGCGGCGGCAACAGCAGCAGCAGGGGCATCCCCGGCAGCGGCGGCAGCAGCGGCATCCCCGGCAAGCAGCGGCAGCAGCGACATCCGCCGCAGCAGCGGCAGCCGTCCCAGCCGCACACGTAACTGCACCCTCCTTCCCCTCTCCCCCCCCCCCCCTCTCCCTCCTCCTCACCCTCTCCCCTCTCCTCTGCAGCAACGATAGCAGCGACAGCAGCAGCAGCAGCGGCAGCAGCGGCATCAACAGCAGCAGCAGCAGCAGCAGCTCCATCAGCAGCAGCAGCGGCAACAGCAGCAGCAGCAACAGCCGGAGGGGTCCAGCAGCAGCAGCAGCCGGCGGAGTGCCCCCGCTCCAGCAGCAGCGCCTCCCCCGCCCCCTGGCCGCCGCGGGTCCACCCGCCGTCGCCTCCCCCTTGACCGCCGTGGGTCCACCCGCCGTCGTCTCCTCCGTGGTCGCCACGGGTCCACCCGCCGCCGCCCATCATGGCCACCACCCCTCTTGTTCCTCTCCCCCCTCTTATCGACGCCTCCTCAGTTGACAAGCTGCAGCTTGCTGCAGATCGCTCCGCCATCAACTGGCACTCGTTCGTCGGCAGCATTCGCCGCGTCCTTCAAGACGCCTTCGTTGGACCCTACTGCGTCCTTGACGTTCTCCTTCGCCGTCCGCAGGCTCTCCAACCGACCGCACCCAATCACCCTGGCGAACCTCCCCCTCTCCCTCCCCGCCCTGGCCCCCCTCCTCCTGAGCCTAACCTGACCGTGGCCGCTACCCCCGAGCTTCAGGCTGCTGCGGACCCCACCTTCCTCCACAACCGCCGCGAATACCTTATCCGCAAGGCCGACCAGGACGTTGCTGTGCTCAACTACGAATTTGCATTGTCAGAGCGTGCCACTCGCCTGGAGTTGATTGCGGAGTACAACACCTCCATGGCGGCTTATGTCCCCAACAGCATCGCCTGGGCCCCTGCCGACAACCGCGCTTGCACCATCCTCCTTGGTGCACTCCCCGACGCCCTTGTGCGCCGCTTCCAAGCTCGCGAGATGCGCGCTCACCTGATTTGGACCGAGCTCCAGTCTATGTTCGAGCGTCGCGACATCAGCTCCGTCGGTGTTCTGCTCCAGGAGTATTTCTCCATCACCCTTGCCACCTGCGACGGCGCAGTCGACTATGTAGGGCGCATGCAGGAGGTCGCCGATCGCCTTGCCGCTCGCAAGGCTGCCCTTTCCGAGCCCCTGCAGATCCATCGTCTGCTCTTCAACCTCACGCCGGACTATGAGTCCCGCCTTCACGCCTTCACCGAGGCAAACCCCTTGGCTGGCCTCCCCGAAGTGACTCAGTGGATCATTGACACGGAGGTCAAGCTCCGCACCCCCATTGTCAACCTCACCACCACTCACTCCTCCACCTCCCTCAATGCCACGCAGCCGCGCACCCAGGGTGGTCGCAACGGCGGCGGAGGGGGTCGTGGAGGGGGCGGAGGTGGCAGTCGGGGTAGTAGCCGTGGTGGCCATGGTGGTAGTGGTGGTGGTGGTGGTTCTGGTGGCCCCACTCCCGAAGGCTCCTCTAGTGCTGGTGGAGCTGTGAGCCGTGGTGGTGGTCGCCCTGGGACTCCCCCCCCCTGCACGTACGTTCGCCGCCATGGTCCCCACGCCAGCACGCCGTGTGGTCAGACCAACCACCCCCCTGCCACAAGCTTCAAGGCGCTTGATGACGCCTGGTTTGACCGCGGCAACACTGGTACCCCTCCTCGCTGGAACAGTGTTACCCCTCGCCCCTCCCTCGTGGACATTCAAACCCTCCCCTCCTTCCTCCCTGCTCACCTCCGTCTACTCACCCCCTCCCCCCCCTCCCAGCTGCAGTAGTTTCGGCAGCACCAGCAGCAGCAGCAGCAGTACTTCTCGCAGCAGCAGCAGCCGCCGCTTTTTCTGCCGCAGCACTCCCCACAACAGCAGTTCTTCCAGCAGCAGCAGCCGCCGCGGTACCTTCCGCCTCAGTGGCAGCAGGAGCGGATGACCTTCGGCGCAGCAGCCATGGCCACTCATGCCTCCCTTGCTCCCCCCCCTGGGATTCCATTCCCTTTGCCCCCCCGAGTGTCCCTGACTCTCAGGGCAGTTTCCTTGGTCATGTTGCTGCTGCACCATCCGTCGCTTCCATGTATCCCTCTGCTATCAATGAAACGTCATTCCTGTACCCCGTGTCACCTTCCCTTCCTTCCTCCCCCACCTTGGACTTTGTCCTTGACATTGGGGCCACAAAAACCGCACTCAAATACGCTGGCACCCTCACCCCCCTCCCACTTCCCACCTAGGTTCATGGTGCTGACTCTAGCTTCTCCATCCCATGCACTCACCTCTCCACCCTCCCCTGCACCGCTTTCCCCTCCGGTAGGGTCACAGGTCTCCACATCCCAACCCTTCGCAACAACCTCCTCTCTCACCGAGAGCTCCAAGGTGTCGGTATTACTGCCGTTTACCCTGGTTTTGCCAATTACTGTGATCTTTACCAAACCTCCTCTGGTCGCTTCCTTCTGCGCATTCCCCTTTGCCCTCGCACTCGCCTGTACACGCTCCGCACACCCCGTCCCTCTTTCTGTCATGTTACCACTCGTGCTGGTACTTCCACCGGTCCTCCTGCCCCTCTCCCTCCCCCTCAGGTATCCCCCTCCCCTACTTCACTTCCCTCCTCCCTCCCCACCTCTTCTTCCACCCCCTCCCCCTCCTCTACTGCCCTCTCCCACCCAGCAGTCATTCTGCATCACAGACTCGGCCATCCCAACTTCGCCGCACTTCGCACCACTGTCACCTCTCGCCTCCTTCAAAGCCTCCCTCCCACCTTACCTCCCCTCCCCTCCTCTCCTGCTCCCCCATGCCCATCATGCATTCATGGCAAGCTCAAGCAGTCCCCCCATCACAGCCATCCCACCTTTGCTGCCGCCCCCATTGACCTTGTCCACATGGATCTCTGGGGTCCCTATCCCATCCGCTCCCGTCAGGGGCACGAGTACATGCTCGTCCTCGTTGATGACCATAGTCGGTACTCCACTGTCTTTTTCCTCCACACCAAAGACCAGGTGCCGGCTGTTGTCATCAACTGGTCTGAGCAGTGCCGCAATCACTTCAAACGCCCCATTGGCCGCCTTCACTCTGACGGTGGGGGTGAGTTCATCAACAACACCCTTGCCACCTTCTGCAAACTTCATGGCATCCAGCAAACCTCCACCCTTCCCCACTCCCCTCAGCAAAATGGCATTGCTGAGAGTCGCATCCGCGAAATCACCAAAATTGTCCGTTGCCTCATTGCTCACGCCTCCACCCCTCCCTCCCTTTGGAGCTATGCCCTCCTCCATGCCGCCCTCCTCCTCAATCTCCGCTCCCACCCTCAGCATCCCTCCTCCTCCCCCACAGAACTCTGGTCTAAGGCCAAGCTTGACGCTGCCGGCCTTCGCGTTTGGGGCTGCAAGTCCTTCGTCCTCATCCCTCCGGCCGATCGCTCCCGTGCCGCCGGCAAGCTCGCCCCCCGTGCCTTTGAGTGCGTCTACCTCGGGCACAATCACGACTCCCCAGGCTACCTGTTCCTCCACCTTCCCACCAACCGCCTCATCCGCAGCATTGACGTCGTCTTCGACGGGTCCATCCCTTACTACTCCACTCCTCCTCCTGACCCTCTCCCTCCTCCCTCTCGCCCCCTCGCCTGGAATGACACTGTCCTCCCACCTCTCCTCCCTCCCTCTCCTCTCCTCCCCCCCGTTGCCGCTCCACTCCCTCCGTCCTCCTCTGCTGACGTCTATGACCCCGCCGCACCCGCCTTCCCGGCCCACTCAGCTGCGCCCCCTCCCCCCTCTCCCTCCTCCTCTCACTCCTCCCCTTCTCTGCAATGGCCGGGCCAGCAGCAGCAGCAGCAGCCGGGTCCTCAGCAGGGGCAGCAGCAGCAGCAGCAGCATTAGCGGCAGCCGGGTCAGCAGCAGGGGCAGCAACAGCAGCAGCAGCTGGGGCAGCAGCGGCCGGGTCAGCAGCAGCAGCCGACTCAGCAGCAGGGGCAGCAGCAGCAGCAGCAGCAGCAGGGGCAGCAGCAGCAGCAGGGGCAGCAGCAGCAGCAGCGGCAATAGCACCGAGCAACTTCCCGCTCCTTCCCTTTCCTCCTCCCTCGCATGCACACTCGCTCCCTTGACAAAGTCATTGGAGCCCCTCCTCCCGCCTCCATTCAGCTCCTTGAGGACTCCCACGAGGAGTTCCTCAACATTCGGCACCACACTCCTTTCCTTTCCTCCATCTTCCTTGACTTCCTTGGCCTTCCCGTCCTTGGCGCCACCTCCACCCCCACCATCTTCACTCCCTCCACCTTTAAAGAGGCCATCGCCTGCCCTGATGCGGACAGGTGGATCGCGGCAATCTTCCTGGAGTGTGAGGCATTCATTCGCAACGACTCCTTCGTTGGTGTCCCCCTCCCGGCCGACGCCAACCCTTGTCGAGGGCAAGTGGGTCTTTCGGGTCAAGCAGCTGCCAGGCGAGGATCCGGTCGACAAGGCCCGCTATTGCGCAAAGGGTTTCACCCAGACTTGGGCTGAGGATTACTGGTCCACCTACGCCCCCACCGCCAAGCCACCCACCCTCCGCACCCTCCTCGACGTTGGTGCGTGCGACGACATGGAGATCTGCTCCATGGACGTCTCCAACGCGTTCCTGCAAGGGGACCTGCACGAGCGTATCTTCCTCCGGCGACCCCCCGGGTTCCACGCCGCCTTTCCATAGCACACTGTGTGGCAGTTGCGTCGGCCTGTCTACGGCCTAAAGCAGGCGCCTAAGGAGTGGCACGCGAAGCTGTCTGCCACCCTGGGGTCCCTTGGCTTCTCTGCCTCGTATTCTGACGCCAGTCTCTTCCTTTGCTCCTCCCCTCGCCGCTTCTTCATTCTGGTGTATGTGGATGACATGATCCTGCTCGCTGACTCCAAGGCTGACATGGAGCAGATGAAGCAGCAGCTGCAGCAGCGCCTCAAGTGCAAAGACCTGGGCGACCTCACCCACTACCTTGGCATGGCTATCACTCGCGACCGTCCCTCTCCCAGTCTCATTACATCGGCCAGATCTTGGAGAAGTTCGAGATGGCTCAGGCCAGTCCCGTGGCCACCCCCCTCCCTTTTGGCCACCAGCTTGCCCCACCCACCTCGCCCTCCTCCTCTCACCCTTATGCTGAGCTCGTTGGGTCGCTGATGTACGCTATGATGTGCACCCGTCCCGACCTCGCCTACCCCATCAGCGTGCTCGCTCGTTTTGTTGGCACTGGTCGCCACACCGAGGTGCACTGGAAAGCTGCTAAGAGGGTCCTCCGCTACCTTCGCGGCACCAAGGACCACGGCCTCACTCTTGGTGGCTCCTCCCCTCCCCTCCTTTCAGGCTTTAGCGACTCCTCCTGGGCCGACTCGCAGCCGGACCGCCGCTCCTCTTAGGGCTACGGCTTCACCTTCGGCAGTGGCCTTGTTAGCTGGCGCTCCACACGCTCCTCCGTTTCCCTCTCCTCCTGCGAGGCTGAGCTCTACGCTGGCACCATGGCCGCCCAAGAATCCCGCTGGCTCTGCTTTCTTCTTGCTGAGCTTGGCGCCCCTCAGCCCTGCCCCACCCTCTGGTGTGACAATGCCAGCACCATCCACCTCACTCAGGACCCTGTCTACCACGCCCGCTCCAAGCACATCGAACTCCGCTACTTCTTCATCCGCGAGCTCGTCCAGCGCGGCCTTCTTGCTGTCCGCAAGATCGCTGCTGAGGCCAACTTGGCCGACATCTTCACCAAGGCTCTCCTTCGCCCTGCGCACTCTGCTCTCCTCCGCCTCATCGGCCTTGCTCGTCCGGGCGCCCCTTGATTCAGGGGTTGCTCCCTTCCTGTGTTCGCATGCTAAGGGGTTGTGTTAGAATTCCTATGTTCTAGCATGCTAACACTTGTGACTGTACACCAATTGTGGTGTACAGCTGGGTTGGGACTACACCCAACTTTGGGTGTAGTCTTGCATTTTGGGGTGCCAATCCAACCCAATTGTGGTGGAGCCCCCAAATGCAACCCTATGGGCCATAGGGTACCCCACTTCACAAAGTGAGGCCAACCCAACCCAATGGGCCATAGGTTGCCCCACTTCCCCAAGTGTGGTCAACCCAACCCAATGGGCCATAGGTTGGCGCACTTCCCCAAGTGTGGTCAACCCAACCCAATGGGCCATAGGTTGGCCCTCTCCCCCAATCCCACCTCCCTCCTTTCCCTTCCAACCTTCTCTTCCCAAACCTATGTATGCTTGTTCACTTTCTAATCAACCTAATGATTCAGTTTCCAATCTTCTCAGGTATGCCATGGTATGCTGTGGTGTGGTGTCACGTGGCGTGGGTTAAGGCAGTGTGGTACGGTGCGATGCGATGCAGTGTGGTGTGGTGTAGTATGGCATGGTATGGTATGGTATGGTGTTGTATGGTATGTCATGGTATGGTATGGTTATGGTACAACATGGTATGGTATTGGCGTGGTATGCTATGCTATGCTATGCTAAGCTTTGGTGTGGTGCGGTGTGGTGCGGTGTGGTGTGGTGTGGTGTGGTGTGGTGTGGTATGGTGTGGTATGGTAGAATTTGCCATGGCACGGCATGATATGGTATGGCATGGTATGGTATGAAATGGCATGGCATGGTATGGTATGGTATGATATGATATGATATGGGTATGGTATGGTGAGGTATGATATGCCATGGTGTGGTGCGGTGTGATATGCTGCCTTTTGGTTCCTCAGCACATGTCAGTTCCTCACCACGCTCGGCCATCAGGCATATCGGAATCAGTCTTGTGCACATGATCTCTGGCCGTTGTCCTCGGTCTCCCTTCCCCCTCCCGTCCCCTTGCCCCCCTTCCCCGACTCCTCATTCCTCTCGTGTTTATGCACTGCTGCATCCCTCTCCTTTACTCCCGTGCCGCCAGGCAATTGTCTTTTCGGAAGATGCCTTTGCCACACTGTCGTTGCCATCTCCCTCGGTTATCCAGGTATGCTCCTCGTCTGAGCTCGGGAAATGGCAAAATGAAGCCGTGCCATACCTCTCACCTGCCACTGCTTAGGGTTTTCTGCTGACTTGTACTGTCCTGGTTCACGCCTGTGTATGTATGCTGTCATGCTGCCATGCTGCTATGCCTCCATTGCCACTCCAGCATTCTACCTCCCCACCACCATTCATCCTCTTGTGAACCTTACCTTGCCATCTTCTACCTTCCCCTCTTCCCCACATCCCTCTCCATTGCCCCTCTCGTTCGGGCGTGTGTTGGCTGCAACCCTCCGCCCTGTTCCCCCTGCCCCCAGGACTACTTGCGCTGCGGGGCATGCCAGCGTGCCTCCATTCTCATAGAGACTGAGTACTCGCTACCCTCTTCCTCGCCAGGAATAAGACTTGCGCCTTAAATCCACGGGGCGTGCCATTGCTGCGCTGTGTCAACTCATACCATACCCGCGTTTCTCTTCCCTCCCAGGAATACGTGGACCACGGGGCCTGCCAGTTCAAGTGCTACGTGCTGGGCGAGGCTTTTTTCGCTGCTGAGAGGTGCAGCACTCCCGACGCTGCACCGCTGCTGCTGCAGCAGCAGGGACAGGCGCACGGGAAGGTAGGGCAGCAGCAGCAGGAGGAGGAGGAGGAGGAGCAAAGGGCGAAGGTATCAGCGGCACCAGCAGCGATCTCGTTTGACAGGTGTGCACCAGGGGCAGCAGGATGTCTTGCAAGAGAGGGCTGCCTGCCTCTCTCACCTTCCACTTCCTCCTCCCCTTTTGTGTGCCTTCACCCTCCCCTCTGTTTCGTTTTACTGTAAATATAAACTTTGTTCCCCCTTGGTGTCCTCTCACACGTGTTGTTGTTGTCACCACATCTTCTCATCCTCTGTTGGATTGAACATGGCTGAGTCACCACTCATGCCTTGAATCTCTTCAACCTTGTAATACACTTGTCCGCACCAACAGTAAATCTCCCTTCTCAGTCGCTCACTCACCCACTTAGTCGCGCTCTCACTCACTTCTCCCTCCTCTCTTTTCCCACCGCCAGCCTCAAGTCCCTCCCCATGGCCTTCCCAAGCCAGCCCAGCGAGCAGCAGCAGCAGCAGCAACCACCATTGCCTCCCCTTGGAGCCGTGGGTGGTTTTAACGAGGCTGTGGCGCGCCGTGCAGCTGACCGTCTGCGCTCTGCTCTCGGCCTCACACTCTTTGGCTTTGATGTCCTCGTAAGTAGAGCTTCAAAGGCACAGTAAACCTGCCTCTTCTTGTCAACTTAAAATCCTCATGTTTAATTGCCTTGATGTGTTAGTAAGGAGGTTCAGTAGCCTGAGTGAGGGTGGATGACAGGTACATGGGTTTCTGACAGCCTCCCTGTTTTTCACCGTTGTGTTTCTTTGCGTTTCTCTGCGTTTCTTTGCTATTCCCTCCAGCCGCTCACAATGCCACACCCTGACGAGTTTCAGACAGCCCCACATGCCTTGCCATGCTGGTGCTATCGTGTTCCGCAACGTCTCACTCACAGCTCTACCATGCTTTCCCGTGCGTGTATGTGTGTGCGTGCGTGCACGTGTGCATGTATGTGCATGTATGTACATGTATGTGCATGTATGTGCATGTATGTGCATGTATGTACATGTATGTGCATGTATGTGCATGTATGTGCATGTATGTGCATGTATGTGCATGTGTGCATGCATACGTGTGTGCGTCCCCTCTTCACCACTGTGCCACTGATACATCAGGTGCAGGAGGGCACAGGAGAGCACGTGGTGGTGGACGTGAACTACTTCCCCTCCTTCAAGGACGTGCCAGACCACCTCGCCATCCCGGCCTTCCACACCGCCTGTGCTTCCCACCTCGTGTAGGACAGCCAGCAGCACCCAGGGGTATACTCACCTCTCAGCTCGCTTGGGGTGGTGGTAGAATGGAGGGTTAGATGGAGTTACGGGCTGGCAGGTCTGGGGAAGTGAGGGGAGAGGGCCGTTTCAACGATGGAGTTGATTCGAGCTAGTTTTGTCCGTCCTATGTAAATGTCGTGATGCTGATGGTGGTTGTGGTGGTGGTGAAGGTTGCAGCCATAGTAGTAAAGAGCCGTGTGGTGTGGGCTCACACGCGAAAATGTGAGGGGAGCAAACTCGAGGTGGAACTGGGAGAGAGAAAAGGACTCCTTGTGACGTGCGGCTTGTGACTTGTGATGCATGGCTGGTGTGTTGTGTGCTGTGTAGCTGTGTGGCTGTACCTCACCTAGCTCTGCAATTTACCGTACCTGGTTTAAAATAGGTGTAGGTTATTACCCAGTTATGTTGTGCCTGTTTACCATCCTGTACTTATATAGCCTCATATATGAGTGCCTGAATATATTGTATAGTGCTGTACTTGCCTAATGATATATATTTAATGTAATTCAGGGCTGTGGCAAGAGAAGGAAGGCTGCTCTGGATGTATGCCACTGCCATTCATTCCCACCTACGGCAACTAGCTTTACATGTTCCTAGCACTTTTTATACTGCAACCACTGCTACTCCTGTTCCTATTCCTTCCAGCTCATTGATTGATAACAGGCACAGAAGTGTAGAGCACAAACCATGCATCATGCATCCAATATGATTTGTGTTATGCAGCTCCCCAAACACCCCTTTTCCTCCCCTCACTGTGCTGATTCATACAAGCAGCAGCGGTGAGGGGGGGATGCATTTAACTAGCGACCGGAACCAGTCAGCGTTAGTCGTGAGGCGAGCGGCTTCTGAGAATTCACAAAACCAGCTGCTTCATACGACCAGAGGCTGCAGGGCAGACGCATTAGCTATCACCCGGACCCGGTCAGCAATAGTGGTGTCCCTCACAAACCACACGTGGGACTCCCCCGGCAGCACAACAGTGCTGCAGCGCGCGTTGACTGGGTTGACCACTCCAGACATATGGTAGTGGCGCAGGTGAGTGGCGGCGTTGAGCACCACGCCGCCCGTCTGTGGCTCTCTGACCATGTGGATGGACATCACTGACGTCTGGGCAAGGTGGGGAGGACAGAAGGGGGTTTTGAAACATCCTGAAACCAGACATCGTTTTGAGACGTCTCAAAAATCGTCTTCACTGACGGCTGGACAACGAGGAGGGGGGAGTGGGGGTGGGAAGGGGTTGTGACTTGTGAGGGGTGGAGATGGCAAGGGAAATGAGATGAGAGGAGAATGCGCCAGTGTGTGCAGATGGTGGGGATGGTGGGGTGGTGGTGGGAGTGACGTGGCAAGGACCATTTCTCAATGCATCATCCAATCCACCCCAGTGCACAGGGACCAGCGGAATGATTCTCTCACTTCCTGGCACCCTATAAATAACTGTTTTGAAGAACCTCCAAACACCTCCTGCCATGCTCTCTTCTCTTCCCACTTGCTTCCTTCCTCTCATCACGTCTCCTCCCCCCACATGGCCTCTCGTATGTTCCTCTCATCTGTCCGCGCACCTTTCTGGGGTTGACAATGACCTTGCGGTGCCCGCGCCAGTCCTCACAGACTGTCGGATCTATCCGCTCCTGCGACCCGTCCTGCATGCACCACACCTCTGGCTGCCGAAACACAAGCTTTGACAACACCTCCACACCGTTCCTCTTAGCCTCTTCCTCCACTCCTGCTGCTTCTCCTTCTGCGTCTGTGTCCACCCCCCATGCGTCACGTGCTTCCGTTTCACCAACAGCTCTACTGCCATTCCTCCCTGCACTCCCCTCCACGCCCCCCTCTCCCTCGCACACAGTCAAATCCACGACGAGGGCGCCGTGGGAGAGCCAGGGCGCGTGGCGGTGGGTGGCGAGGAGCGAGGGCAGGGAGTGCGGCGGCACGGGGGCAAGGAACTCGTCGGTGTCGTGCAGAGTCACCCAGCGGGACGATGCCAGCGAGCGGAATATGCAGTCGTTGCCCGCCAGTGTCTGATGGGGTCATGTGGTGAGGTGGTCATGTGGTGTGGTGGTCATGTGGTGTGGTGAGGAGGTCACGTGGTGAGGTGGTCACGTGGTGTGGTGAGGAGGTCACGTGGTGAGGTGGTCACGTGGTGTGGTGAGGAGGTCACGTGGTGAGGAGGTCACGTGGTGAGGTGGTCATGTGGTGAGGAGGTCACGTGGTGAGGTGGCCACGTGGTGTGGTGGTCATGTGGTGAGGAGGTCACGTGGTGTGGTGAGGAGGTCACGTGGTGTGGTGGTCATGTGGTGTGGTGGTCATGTGGTGTGGTGAGGAGGTCACGTGGTGAGGTGGTCATGTGGTGAGGAGGTCACGTGGTGAGGTGGTCACGTGGTGTGGTGGTCATGTGGTGAGGAGGTCACGTGGTGTGGTGAGGAGGTCATGTGGTATGGTGGTCATGTGGTGTGGTGAGGAGGTCACGTGGTGAGGTGGTCACGTGGTGTGGTGAGGAGGTCACGTGGTGAGGTGGTCACGTGGAGGAGGTCACGTGGTGAGGTGGTCATGTGGTGAGGAGGTCACGTGGTGAGGTGGTCACGTGGTGTGGTGGTCATGTGGTGAGGAGGTCACGTGGTGTGGTGAGGAGGTCACGTGGTGTGGTGGTCATGTGGTGTGGTGGTCATGTGGTGTGATGAGGAGGTCACGTGGTGTGGTGGTCATGTGGTGTGGAGAGGAGGTCACGTGGTGTGGTGGTCATGTGGTGTGGTGGTCATGTGGTGTGGTGAGGAGGTCACGTGGTGAGGTGGTCACGTGGTGTGGTGCGGAGGTCACGTGGTGAGGTGGTCACGTGGTGTGGTGAGGAGGTCACGTGGTGTGGTGGTCATGTGGTGTGGTGGTCACGTGGTGTGGTGAGGAGGTCACGTGGTGTGGTGGTCATGTGGTGTGGTGGTCATGTGGTGTGGTGAGGAGGTCACGTGGTGTGGTGGTCATGTGGTGTGGAGAGGAGGTCACGTGGTGTGGTGGTCATGTGGTGTGGTGGTCATGTGGTGTGGTGGTCACGTAGTGCGGTTGAGACAAGGAACATGAAAGATGACAGGGTGTGAAGGGAGGCAGGGGTGTGCGTATGGGCAAGACCTTGGGGAGATGGAGAAACGGACGGAGAGGTTGACGGCGGGATGGAAGCAGGTGAAACAAAGTTGTAATTCGCAACGGGGCACTGGCTGATCCACTCGACAGCGAGCGTCATGTTCCGTTTTTCAAGTCAAACTCCTTGCTCACTGAGTGCGCTCAACATTACTCACACCCACCCACCAACCCACCTGGTGCTTAGACAAGAACCCCCGAGGGCCCGATCCCGCATGGAACCCAAGGCGGTGCCCAGCGGACATATCCGTGAGCTCAGCAATCCCCGCAGCGAAGTAGGGGCGGAAGAGCGTGGAGAGGAGCGGTGTCCAGGCGGCCATGTCGTAGAAGAGGAAGCGGTGCACGGGGGCGTGCACGCGGTGGTACTCCGCCCACGCCCACACCACGCCCGCGTCCAGCTCGCCATACAGCGGCTGCGAACACCACGTGAGGAGCACGGGGAGCGCGTCGTCTGGTGGCGGCTCCAGGGGCTGGGTTGTTGTGGGGGAGAAGGTAGGAAGGGGTGGGTAAGGGCGGGGGAAAGAGGGGTGGTAGTAGCAGGAGGAATTTGGAAGTGAGACGTGATCAGGGGTAAACGAAGAAGTGAAGTGGTGACTAGAACACACAAACACATACATCAACAACACTCGTATTGTTGGGGTGGCTGCAATCATGCGTGAGACACAATCGTGGCGATTAAGACACAATCACAGATACGTTCTCCAATCGCGCTGCTTTGAATGCTTCCTGTGAGTCATCCTCCCTCTTCCACCCTCCATCCTCCACCCTTCATCCTGCCTCCTCCTCCTTAATGTGAGTGCTCCCATACACCACTCACCTTCACATCATTCTGGAAGTTTTTCCACACCACACCTCGCCATAATAGCCACCTCTACCACATGATATAAGCCCACAGACCTCACCTCCCCAGATCTCACCTCGCCCACATCTCACCTCCCCTGGCTCCTCCGTGAAAACGGCAGCCTCCACGTCATCCATGGTCATTGCCAGATAGCCGCCCACCTGAGACGTGTTGCCTGCCAGCTGGCAAAACGCTGCTAACGCGTCAGTCTGCGAGGGGGACGAGGGAGGCAGGGTTGTGCGTATGCAGGCAAGTCAGTTTGCAAACGGGTGCGACTGATCAAGGGGATGGGTGTTAAGTGGGGGGGATAGATCAATGAAACCATGCAAACCATGCAACAACATGCTGTGAAGCACGCACATGGTGCATCAGACGTGCCTGCATAAGGACATAAGTGGAGGGAGCCTGCTGACCTTGGATTTGGGACGCATGAAGTCCCTGTACTGCACTGTACCGTTCACTCTGCTCCCGTCTCGCCCCACCCATCGACAACCCTCTCCCTCCTGCCATTGGAAATCAAGCCTGCTTATACCGAGTACGACGAAGCGGGAGGGATTAATCCGATATGCGCTGGGGGGTGGGAGAAGAGGAGAGGGAAGAGAGGAGATGGTTTGGTATTGGAAGAGAGAGGAGAGAGGGATGGCAACGAAGAAACTGGCAGTAAGGGGAACACGAGTCTTAAAGCGCAAGTCCTGAGTTGCAAAGCCGGGAGGCGACTTTTGAGGCGCCTAAGAAAACATGCAGCACGAAAGGTTAAACATGACACGTGAACCAAGCTAGCACTAAATTACTAGCATTTGCAGAGAGAACCTGAGTTGTAGAAGCAGAGGACCAAGCAGGTCGTACCTGAACTGGTAGATGAACCCTCTCTGCTGGTACGTGCGCTGCTTCCACTGCGCTGCCTCCGCCTCGAGCACACTCGCTACATTCCCGTCCGACTGGTTCCGCTGGTACCTTGCCTCTATGCTATCCGTGTATCGCTGTTGAGACACGAACACAGCAGATGTTGACATGCAAAGGGTTACGAGGTTATGCGTGGAACTGGGGGAGTCCCGAAGTGGGGGAGAGGGTGTAATGGGCGACTGCGACAATGCGAAGCAGGAACTCTGACAATCTGACAGTATCGCATTGCCACAGTAACCCACTCGTTCGGCAATGCGACTGTGGCTCGGAGCATCCCAAGGCATGCCGAAGCACAGCCATCTCGAGAACCTCTTGATGGCGTAACCAGGCGATTTCTGGGTCGACTTAAGAATCGAAAACAGCGGTTTACCCACCGCTAGTTGTTCCGGCGTCGACACGTCGCCCGCCGCACCCAGCGGCTGCTCCCGGAGCGGCGCCTCACCGCTCGCCCCTCTGCCGTCTCCGCCGCTCGTCCCTCCGCCTTCTCCGCCGCTACCGCTGGCGGCCTCATACGCTACTGCCTCGGCGGCAAGTGCGGCGGACACGTTGCAGGGAGCTGCAGTGCCTTTTGGCGCGGCTTGGCGCGCAGCGGCGGAGGGGGGACGGGAGAGGAGGAGCGGGGAGAGGAACGGCGCAAGCGTGTTTTGGAGGAGGGTCTGCCAGTGGAAGGGGGAGTGGGGCGGAGAGAAGAAATCAATCGGTCGCTGGGATCGCCCCATCGCTGCTCAGCATGCATCGCTGATCGGCATACGTCGCGCCGCTCAGCTTGCATCGCTGCGCCCCGCGCATCGCTCTAGGGTCGCTGGCATGGGGGATTTCATCACGAAAGCAGGAGAGGCAAAATCCGGAATGGCAGTGGCTGTGTTCCCTCGGCGGGCATTGTTAGCTCGCTGACGGACGGCGCTCTACTTGCAGTCGCGTATGCATACTGATACATGCATAGTACTGTTGCATGCACAGTACTGTTGCACGCATATCCAGCCTGCGTGTAGCACTACTAGTAGTAGTGTGACACAATGCGGCACGTATCGGTTTGTCGACGATGTGACTGGCGTTGTGGCGCTACCGCTAGACGTACCACGCACACCAGCAGCGTAATAAGGACGCCCAGCGTGGCTGTCACGTGCGTGCCCCACGCGCGCTGCGAGCTTTTCAATAGATGACACGGCATCATTAGCTAACACCTCTGCTGCTCTGAGGAGCACTTATTATCTTGTGGCTTCGGCCTGAGATTGGGAGAGGTCGATGACAAAATGTCGCGTTGTTCTATTCTGGAAAAAGTCTGTCTCGACTCGAATAATTCAACTCTGCCTGTCCTGTGACTCGGAAATATGGAGCTATCGTTCCTTCTATCTACCAATCGATACGACGACACTCGCCCATGGTAGATGGCAGCAGTAGCAAAAACGACGGACCAGCTGGAACGAGAGGGTGGGTGGGACTAGTGACCAGACCAGACACCAAACAATACTGTGCATAACTAGGTCCACGCGTCGGCGTGCTGGCGTGACGTGATCGCACAGGGTGCGAGGTGCACATACGCGACTCGTTGTGGCAGTTAATGTGCTTGTGAGGGGGGGAATGTGAACCTAGGGAATTGGGGAAATATCGAGTCGCGACTCCCTCCCGACGCTTGCCGCTTCGATGCGACTTGAGTGAGGTGTCGTGTCGTGGTGGCTGTCCCTTGGTTGGCGGCCGATTTCTCATTGGCTCACGGTTGGGTTTGTACCCGAGTCTAGCATGTTTGGAAACAAGCGTTTGGCTGCCCGCTTAGCCATTCGCAACCACCTGCCGTTAGCCGAATGCGCTCACTTCGGACAGCACAGGACAGCACAGGCACTGTACGACGCTGTAGTCGCCCCTTACTCCTCGCCTGCCACTGCTGCTCTAGGCCGTCTTCTACTGCCCTACCTGTTTCCCGAGCTGTCTGCCTTTGCCACAGTCGAGGACCTGGTTTCTCACCTTCGCAATAGCGACGCTCGCTACCGCGCTGCCGCCCCAGCAAAGTTCCTTGACGGGAACCAGCCCCCGATGTTTATCACTCTCTACTTTATAGTCACCCGCCTCCCTGACTCTCTGCGCTCTCTTAGGGACCACTTTCTCTCCCTTGACCCCACAGTCCTCACTGTTGACCTAATCCAGCAGCACCTCCTTGCAGGTGAGACTAGTATAGTCGCTGTAGGTGCTGCTCGTGGCACTCCGCGCACACCCTTCTTTGAGGGGTGCTCCCCCTCCCCCCTTGCCCCCTCCTATGCCTCTGCAGCTGCTGTTTACGTGCTTGGTTCTGAGGACGTAGGGGCTGCTTCTGCTAGTGGGAAGCGCCACAGCAGCAAGGGCAAGGGTGGCAGGGGTGGTGGCGGTGGCAGCGGGGGTGGTGGTGGGGGCAGCAGTGGAGGTGGTGGAGGCAGTGGAGGTAGTGGCGGTAGTGGGAGTGGTGGCGGGAGTGGGGGCTTTGGTGGCGGCGGTGGTGGCAGCGGTGGGGGTGGAGGTAGTGGCGGCAGTGGGAGTGGTAGTGGTCGGGCTGGAGCTACTCAGCCTGCAGGTTCTGGCGGTGCCCGGAGGCAGCAGCAGCAGCGTCGGAGCGAGACCCCGTCGCCCCAGCAGCTTCGTGAGTGGTTTTCTCAGCATGGGGCGTCTGGGGGTAGTGGTAGCTGCCCGTATGTCATTCGCACGGGTGACCGTGCTGGTCAGACATGCGGGAAGCCTCACACTCAGCACCGCTGCTTCTCCCGCCTCGACGACGCTTGGTGCGCAGAGTTTGGTGACGAGGCCGAGCGCCCCCGCTGGGCAGAGCTGCTTAGGTCTAGAGTTGCTATCTTTGACCTAGACTATGATGCTATCATTGCTGCTATGTATGCTTTGTCTGTTAGTGCTGAGGGAGACTGTTACCTGTGTGTGCCGCGTGACCCAGGTATAGAGGCTGCTGCTCTAGGTGCTAGTGAGTCTGCTCTCCTTGGTACTGTGCCTGCTGAGGCCTTGCACACCTTTACGCTTGACTCAGGTGCTTCACGCTGTTTCTTTCGTGACAGCACCACCCTCACTCCTCTATCTTCACCTGTACCGGTCAGACTGGCTGACCCCTCCGAGGGCCCAGTCTTTGCCCGTTCCTCCACTGTTCTCCCGTGTCCGGTGGTTCCGTCCGGCTCACTGTCAGGTCTTCACCTCCCCTCGTTCGCTACGAACTTGGTGAGTACCGCTGCCCTCCAGCATGCGATGGTCACTACCACCACTCCTGGGGGTCAGCGTGTGTCGATCTGCACGTGTACTGGCCTCGTGTCTCCTTGCCGGAGACCTCGCCGACTCTGCGTTGGTCGGGGGAGGTTGGCGATGCGACGGTGTTCCGGGTCTGGGGCTCTCGTGCCTTTGTTCGCGATACGTCCGCGGACAAGCTCTCCGCCCGTGCTATTCCCAGCGTCTTCCTTGGCTTTCCCCCTGATGCACCTGGCTGGCAGTTTTACCACCCCACCTCGCGCCGTGTCTTCCCTTCTTAGGACGTCACGTTTGACGAGTCGGTTCCCTTTTACCATCTCTTCCCCTACCGCTCTGCTCCTCCCCCGCCCCCGCCGCTCTTCCTTGCTCCAGGTCCCCCTCCGGTAGACCCCCTCCCCCCCAGGGTCCTGCTCCCTAAGGTGTGTCTCAGGTAGACTCTCTTCCTGGTACTGTGCCTGTTGAGGTAGCTGTCGACTCAGGTGCTGGTCAAGGTGCTGCGTCTGAGGGTGCTGCGTCTAGGGGTGCGGAGCCTGGGGGTGCGGAGCCTGGGGGTGCGGAGCCTTGGGGTGCGGAGCCTGGGGGTGCGGAGCCTGGGGGTGCGGAGCCTGGGGGTACGGAGCCTGGTGGTGCTGAGTCTGGGGGTGTTGAGCCTTGGGGTGCGGAGCCTGGAGGTGCTGAGCCAGCGGGTGTGGAGTCTGGGGGTTCTGAGCCTGAGGGTGTGGAGCCTGGGGGTGCTGAGTCCGAGGGTGCGGAGTCTTTGGGGTGCTAAGCCTCGGGGTACTGCTTCTTCTGGAGGTCCTGCGGGTGCTTCGCCACGACTGTCTCCCCGATCGGAGCCTCTCTCCCCGCAGCAGCTGCGCGAGTGGTTTACTCAGCGCACATGCCTTTGAAGTGGAGCTGCCAGAGCTGGAGACTCTGCCGCTGGAGACACTTGCACGGGAGGCGCTCGAGTTGGAGGAGCTGGAGCTGTTGACCCTGGAGCTGGAGGTGCTGGAGGCATTGTGCGGCCGCGACCGTACTTCGTTCCCCTGCTTCAGCAGGTTCTTGGTGTCCCGTCTTCTACTGGCCTTACTCCTCCCGTACTCTGTCCACCGCCTGACCAGCCGCAGCCGCAGTTACAGCCAGCCTCCCCACTGCCTGCTCCTTCTCCTTACACTGAGCAGACCGGCGGTCTTACAGAGCATCGTGAGCCTGCGTCTCGTCCTGCCTCCCCTGTTCGCACTGGTCATCGTGTTCCTCATCCGCGTCCTCCTCCTGTCCCTAGCACACACGCTATGGCACATCGTCCTTCCTCTGTTCCACTGCGTGTTCCTCTGCCGCCTCCTCCTGAGTCATCTCTTCATGCCGTCCCTGACCCTGAGTCTGACCGCGCTCGTGCTGCCAGTCCCACCGTCTCTCGTCTCCTCGCCATTGTTGTCACTGACCCTTCTTTTGAGTCCACTGCTGCGTCTGCCCTCGTTGCTGAGCTGGTTGACTTTGCTACTGCCTGACGTCTAGACTACGCCACTGCTCTTGTTGTTGAGTCCGAGTCTGCCAGTTCTCCGTCATTCGGGGGTGAGAGTGCTCTTGGCACGGACGTCCTTGAGGACATACATGAGGACTTTGAGTGTCTTGCAGCTAATGTACCTTGTTTCGCTTCCATGCTGCTTGCCCCTGAGGGAGACCCGGATGCAACAGACATCCCTACCCCACGCTCTTACGCAGAGGCGATTACGGGTCCTTATTCCTCTCACTGGCAAGCAGCCATGGATGCCGAGATGGCATCCTGGAAGTCCACAGGCACCTACGTCGACGCAGTTCCCCGTCTCGGGCGAACATAGTCGATGGCCTGTGGATTTTCAGGGTGAAGCGGCCGCTGGGTTCTCCGCCTGCCTTCAAGGCGCGTTACATTGCTAGAGGCTTCAGTCAACGACAGGGGGTCGACTACTTCCAGACCTTCTCCCCCACCCCGAAGATGACTACTCTTCGGGTGTTGCTGCACGTTGCTGCTCAGCGTGACTACGAGTTACACTGTCTGGACTTCAGTACAGCTTTCTTGCAGGGCAGCCTGCACGAGGAGATCTGGCTGCGCCGCCCACCTGGCTTCACTGGGTCGTTTCCAGCAGGTACCGAGTGGAGCCTCCGGCGGCCAGTCTACGGTCTCCGCCAGACGCCTCGCGAGTGGCACGACACACTAAGGACTTCACTTGCGGCTCTGGGGTTTACTCCTTCTACTGCTGACCCGTCGCTGTTTCTACGCACCGACACCTCGCTGCCGCCGTTCTACGTCCTCGTGTACGTCGACGACCTGGTCTTTGCCACTGGTGACACTGAGGCACTAACCCTTGTGAAGTCGGAGCTGCAGAAGAGACACACCTGCACTGACCTAGGTGAACTGCGCAACTATCTTGGCTTGCAGATCACCCGGGACAGAGCACGGCGCACCATCACGCTGACTCAGTCACACATGGTGCACTAGGTCCTTCAGCGCTTCGGCTTCCAGTTCTCCTCGCCATAGCCCACTCCTCTGTCTACGAGCCACTCGCTCTCAGCTCCACCTTCGGACGAGTCCGTAGAGCCGAGTGGTCCGTACCCAGAGCTTGTGGGTTGCCTCATGTACCTGATGACGTGCACACGACCTGACCTCGCGTAACCTCTCAGCCTTCTGGTTCGCTACGTGGCTCCTGGTAGGCACCGAAAGGTGCACGGAGATGCTGCGAAGAGGGTACTGCGCTACCTGTGCAGTACGTCGGGCATGGGGCTCGTGCTTGGTGGACGGGGTCCAGTTGTCCTCACTGGTCACGCAGACGCTTCTTGGGTTGACGACTCAGCTACGCAGCGGTCGTCACAGGGTTACACCTTCAGCCTCGGTTCCGGCTATGTTTCCTGGCGGTCTACCCGCTCATCTTCGGTTCTCAGTTCCAGTTGTGAGGCTGAGATCTACGCCAGGGCGTTGGCTGCACAGGAGTTACGCTGGCTCACCTACCTGCTGACTGACTTGGGAGAGCAGCCTCGTTCGCCTCCAGTTCTGTACGTAGACAACAAGGCCATGATTGCCTTGTGTCAGGAGCATAGACTGGAGCACAAAACGAAGCACATCGCTCTGCGATACTTGTTTGCTCGAGAGTTGCAGCAGTGTGGCCAGATTTGTCTTGCGTACGTGACCACTAGGGCCTACACTGCTGATATATTCACCAAGGCACTTCCGCCTGGTGATCATCAGCGCTTCTCTACAGTGTTAGGCCTTGTGCCTACTTTGCCTCACTTGCTCACTGCGTGACTTTGCTTGTACTGTGATCTATATATATACCTGCATGCTTACACTTGCTAGGGTATGATCACTGTATTGTTTATTCTCTTTTATATAACTCTGCATGTGAACTGGCCTTGTGGCCCTTTGCTTGTGCTCGGAGTGTGTGGTGACTTTGTGATCCACCCTGCGCTTGCTTTGCTTTTCTTGACTGGTCTTGTGACCACTTGTTCTCCCCCGCTTTGCCTATGGGGGTGTGTCAGAATGGTTTAGTTCTTACATGTGTGTAGGCTATAGTGGGGTAGCCCATAAGGGGTACAACCCAATTAGGGTTAGTCCTTGTACCCAACTTCTGTTCAAGGCATTCATTCTGGTTCGTTCGTTTGACAGCCTCTACACTAGCAGCACTAGGGACACATGAGTGACAGTCACCCTCGACACTAGCAGAAGCAGCATACATAGCATACATGCTAGAAAATATCATTTCACAATCTTGAGCAAACACATCCACCCCCTTCTGGAGCAATCCTAACCAGTTAGGGATGTCACTCTCGTCACCGAACTCTGCATGGAAGGCATCCTCAAGACGGAAGAAACAACGATACTCAGTGTGCCCCATCTTGCCGTATGGCTCACCAGCCCGCGGACTTGTGCGCCTGATGTACGGGCGACGACCACTACCCTCAGAGGAGCCACGCCGGACAAACCCACTCATGAAGCTCCGGGGGCGAGAGAGACTCTTGCCGGCGTGGCTGCTGCTGCTGTCCACCCCCAGAGCCTCCGCCACCACTAGCTGCACCCCCAGACGCTGCCCCAGAGCCTCCACCCCTACAAGCTCCACCTCGACCGCCATCCGAGCCCCCTCCGCCCACTACACTGCCTCCACCACCCCCGCCACCTCCATCGCTGCCACCACCTCCTCCACCCCCTCTACCATCACCGCCACCACCCCCGCCAGCGCCACCCCCACCACTCTTACCCCCCTTGCCCTTGCCCCTGCGGCGCCTCCCACTAGGAGCAGACGCAATACCGACCTCCTCAGCATGAAGGAAGTCAACAGCAGCAGCAGAGGCAACAGAGGGCGTGAGAAGGGAGGGGGAACTCCCCTAAAAAAAGGAGGGGAGGGGGGTACCACGAGAGGTGGCAACAGCGTAGGCATTGGTCTCAGCCTCTAGGAGACGAGTCTCAAACGAGGCAAGCGTGAGCTCAGTGGGGTCGAGGGCTAGGAAGTGGTCGAGGGAGAGGAGAGAGTCAGGGAGGTGAGTCACGAAGCCAGAAAGGCCGGCTTGAGAGCAGCGCGGTAGCGAGTGTCACTAGATCGTAGGTGGGTCATAAGATCAGTGACGGTGGGGAAGTCAGACAGCCCAGGAAAGAGATCGGCAGCATGAGACGGCCTGGGGAAGCAGTAGAGGGGGAGGAGTAGCACTTGACTACAACTTCATAGAGGTCTTTGGCCGTCTTCAGCTGGCCAAAATGGGGCCTCTCATCTAGTGGGAGGTGGTTGCGGACAGCAAGGCGTGCAGTAACATCGCGCGTGAGCCACTGGGAACGAGCTACACGGCCAGCCGTCTCATCTGGGGCAGGAAAGGACCCCGACGTATGCTTATACAGTGAGACATCGTCCCTAGCTACGCTCTGCAGGTACAGTTGGACATCCTTGAGTTGTCCCTGCTGACTGGTCTTGTGGCTCCTTGCCTCAGAATCTGGACTAGTTGTGCGGCCTGCGTTTCTTCTCATTTGCTAGGCACTGCCCCTTAGCTATCCTAGGGGGTGTCGCAATATACACTCATGCATTTGTCATGTGTACTTTGTACGCTAGGTTGGGTTGTATTGTAGAGGGTATGGGATGCTACATATACCCCCCTCTGTTTGTCCTCGCATCATTCATTCAGTTGCTGACACTAAACACATTTGCGGAGAAATTTGGAGAAGGGGAAATTATCGTGCGAACTTGTCACTAAATGTCATTGTTGCCGGTCCAGTTATTCCAGGTCGCTTACGGTATCTTTTCGATGATTTGTGAAGTTGCTTGTTCTCCATTGGGTTACACCCAACCAAAGGTAGTAAGGATGAGGCAATTTGGGGAAACTTGAGACTCTGGTTCCAGGGGGCTTACAGCCCGAGAAGTGGCTCCGGCATACAGTTATGGAGGAAGGGATGATCGAGGGAACGAGCGCAAGATGGCTGCCTCCATCCATCACTACTCTTTAGCCACAAACTCTTCCTCTGCCTTCTTCCTTCAATCGTCACTCTCATCCTAGAGCAGCTGAAATATTTACAAGGTCCCACCCACATACTCTCTACACATCTGTCACAAACCTACCACTATCCTCTTCCTCCAGAAGCCAGTCTAATTTTGCATCTAGCGCATTTTGACTGAAACCTTGCCCATCCCCATCCTCCCCACCATGCTGCTCTCCAGCCCCCCCACCACGGGCAGCACCAGGGATCTCACCATCCCTGCTTGTCCCTCCGTTGCCAGGCAGGGCTGGGCGCGGGTGGGCGGAGAGGGAGCGCTTGAGGGCCTTGATGGAGCGGAGCAGGTTGGTGACAGTGGGGCGGGAGAGGGGGTCGGAAGCGGTGCAGGAGAGGGCGAGGCGCACCATGGGCAGCACGATGGCGTCGGGTGCTTGGGGCAGGTGGGCGGCGCGAAGGTCGGCTGTGATGTTGCGTGTTACCAGGTGCTGTGCCTGTACAGGGATGGGAATGTTCGACGTGCACGGTTGGGAGTCGGGGGAATGAAAGGGAGGATGCATGGGTGTTTCGCAAATGCACTTACGTCGTGGTGTGGCGGGTGCATGTAAGGTTCACTTGTTCAAAAACACGCACCGGCATGGATGGACAAAGCTATCTTCCTGCAGTCAGCAAAGCATGGAAGTGCATTTGCAGTTGGTGCAGGTGCACGGCACGAAGAGAGAGTGAGAAAGAGAGGCCGTATGGAGTCACCCATGTGTAGTGTGCATGGTTGGACAAAGCCATCTTCCTGCATGCAGCAGCTCTACACTCACCCAGACCGCCAGCACAACGAAAAGAACACCCCTGGGATTCCACACTGAACTCACCCGCTCCCGAATGTGCACTGCGCTGCTGCTGCTGCCACTAAAGCCGCTGCTGCTGCTGTTGCTGCTGCTGCTGCTACTGCTGTTGCTGCTGCTGTTGTAGCTGTTTGTGCTGATGCTGTTGCTGCTACCGCCGCTGCTTCTGCTGCCAGAGCTGTTGCTTTGCTGATCGTTGACTGGAGCTGTGGGTATCAGGGCAGGCCGGCCAGTCATGAGCTGCAGCATCACCACACCAATGCTGGCAGGTGGGGATGAGGGGGGTGGGGGAGAGTGGGGAAGAGAATAGAGGCGGTGGGGGAAGGAGGGAGAGGTGCTCAATTGGTTAATGAACTGAGTTGATCATTAGTGACCCACAAGCACATGCAGTCGGCAGCAGAATACGTGGTTCCTGCTTTTGAGTTGGCTATTTTTGCGACGTCTCAATAATACAAAGTACCAACTTTTGAGTTGCCTAAAGAAGGCGAATTACCAGCATCCTGCTTTTGCGTAAGCTTTAAGAGAGAAAGAGGTGGTGAGATGGGACGGGGAGAGGGGAGAGGGAGAGGTGTGTCGATAGAAAAGATTGCGAGAAACACAGATGCTAAAACTTGTCCGAGTGGTTTAAAAATCGCGAGCAAGAGAGGCCCAGACAGACAGCACGGGATTACTAATGAGAATGCTCATGAGTAACCTCTGTTGAGCAGCACGGACCTGAAAACATCGGTGGAGGGCGAGGTGCGAGCAGAGGCATGCAGGATTGGCTCCATGTATGCATGGTTGACAGGTGGCCGTGTGACCCTCCCTGCTGATGCCACCCATGCACCTGCTGATGGTGCTGCTGATGGTGCTGGTGATGGTGATGGTGATGATGCTGGAGCTGCTGCTGCTGCTGCTGCTGGTGCTGGTGGTGATGATGCTGTGGGGACGGATGGGAGGGGTTCACCCATTTTCACGGCCATGCAACCAGCCAAGACAGGCTGAGGGTAGGACATAGGCGCGGGGTAGTGGGGAGGCGAGGGACAAGAAGGAGCGTGAAAACTGGGGGATAAGGGAGAGAAGCAGCTGATGGTTGATGGGATGATGTGGATGGGGATAGGAGATCAGAAAGAAGGTCAGTGTGTGGTGCTGAACACCTGCATCTCGCTTCACCCGCATCTCGCTTCACCTGCATCTCGCTTCACCTGCATCTCGCTTCACCTGCATCTCGCTTCACCCGCATCTCGCTTCACCCGCATCTCGCTTCACCCGCATCTCGCTTCACCCGCATCTCGCTTCACCTGCATCTCGCTTCACCCGCATCTTGCTTCACCTGCATCTCGCTTCACCTGCATCTCGCTTCACCCGCATCTCGCTTCACCCGCATCTCGCTTCACCCGCATCTCGCTTCACCCGCATCTCGCTTCACCCGCATCTCGCTTCACCTGCATCTCGCTTCACCTGCATCTCGCTTCACCCGCATCTCGCTTCACCCGCATCTCGCTTCACCCGCATCTCGCTTCACCCGCATCTCGCTTCACCCGCATCTCGCTTCACCTGCATCTCGCTTCACCCGCATCTCGCTTCACCCGCATCTCGCTTCACCCGCATCTCGCTTCACCCGCATCTCGCTTCACCTGCATCTCGCTTCACCTGCATCTCGCTTCACCCGCATCTCGCTTCACCCGCATCTCGCTTCACCCGCATCTCGCTTCACCCGCATCTCGCTTCACCCGCATCTCGCTTCACCTGCATCTCGCTTCACCTGCAGCTGTGTGTCACTAAGTACCTCACCTCCAGGGCAGGGTCAAGCAGGATGTTGCGTGGGTGTATGCGGCCATGCACGACCCCATGGCTCTGAATGTGCTTCAGCCCTCGCAGCACACCCGCGGTCACATCCAGGCACTGCCACACCGACAGAGGCACGCCGCCCTCTGCATGGCGGGAGGAGGAGGGGGTGTTTTGGAGTAGGAGGTGGGGTGCAGAGGGGAGTACAAGGAGAGGAGATGAGAGAGGAGGAGAACGGACAGTGGGGACGGAGGGGAACAATGCAAGATGGCTCAGAACATGAGTATCTATGCTGAGCAAACAGAAGTGGTGTTCTGGGAATCTGTTTTTTTTCCGCAAAAGGCTTGCCAGAATTCTTACGTGGTGGGGAATGAGTGGCCTGGCACAGTGGATCCGAGCACCGGCAAAGGTTAGAGTGCAATAAGCAAGCAGAGAGGCAGAGGCATGGAGAGTGGGATATGCATGGAGAGAGTAGGGTGGGAGAGGGGCCTTGGCGTGACTGTACCTGCAATGAGGCGGCTGTGCAGGTTGCCTCCTGGCACCCACTCAAACACTAGCACCTGCTCCTCCGCTTGCTTCACCGCATGACTGGCAGCAGCAGCATCAGCAGCACTAGCGCTCGTAGCACTATCAGAACTAGCACTTATAGCACTATCAGCGCCAGCAGCAGCAGCAGCAGCAGCAGCAGCAGCAGCAGCAGCAGCAGCAGCAGCAGCAGCAGCAGCAGCAGCAGCAGCAGCAGCAGCAGCAGCAGCAGCAGTAGCAGGCGAGTCACGGTCTAGGGCAGTATCACGCTTCTCCCAGCAATACCCCAGCAGTCGCTGCAGGTTGGTATGGCGGATAGTCCAAAGCGTGGCCACCTGGGCAGGCAAGGATGCACCCACAAGGAAGGGGGGAAATACAGGGGAAAGTTGTAAGAAGCAGAAAACCATTTTTTTGGCACCAAAACGGCTGACGCCGCAGCCGCCGCCACCACCGCTGCAGCAGAAGCAGAAGCAGAAGCAGAAGCAGAAGCAGAAGCAGAAGCAGAAGCAGCAGCAGCAGCAGCAGCAGCAGCAGCAGCAGCAGCAGCAGCAGCAGCAGCAGCAGCAGCAGTGGAGAAGTATCCGCAGCTCTCTCACCTCTTTCTGGAAGTCTGTGGAAAGCTCCTCGTTGCCGCGCCTCACCACGAACCACACTTGGCGCGCATCGAGAGGACTCACTGCCTTGTACCTCTGCCCTCCACTGCTGCTGCTGGTGGTGCCACCGCTGCTGCTGCTCCAGCCCTGCTTCTCCACCCTGCAATCCTCACTCCACCCACCCGTTGCCTGTGCCACGAGGGACATGGACAGCTGCGGACAGCGAGAGCGACTGAAGACGCGAGATGCTGAAGTGTGGAACGAAGGGGGAAGTGATGAGAGAGGGAAGAGCGGGGCGAGAGGAGTAGATTCAAGTGGGGAAATTGATGGTGAGATGATGGTGAGATGGGACGTTAGCATCAGGGTAAGTGGCTGACAGAAGGGAGAACAATGATCGTGGCTGGCAGAAGCAGTGGACGCAAATGCGGCAGTGTTTGGCTGCAATGACAACCGCAGCGACATGCGTCGAACGAGGAATTATGGTGGCACAGATGATGAGAAAGAGAGACAGCTGTGGCGGACCGGGTTCGAATGTTACAAGGAGAAAAGAAAGAACAAAATACCGTCAGACAACGCCCTTCCACGGCTGAGCCACCACAAGTGGCACGCACCCTTTTAGTGCCTTGGGTTTAGAGTCGTTTCACAGCACTGAGCCTGCTCTTACCTGAGGAAGCTAGGGGCTGTAGTTTCGACCCCTGGAGTTCCTCCCTTACACACCCAGAAACCACGACAGCAGCAACAACAGCAGCCAGAATAAGGCAGAACGCTCCCAAGGCTATTCCCACAATTGCAGCAGTTGGCAAACCAGTGGCAGATGGAGGAGCAGGAGGAGGGGAGAGTGGCGAGGAGACGGCAAGAAGAGAGGACAGAGTAGGAGGTGGGGGGCTCATGAGAGCAAGGCTTGGAGGGAGAGGAGGTGAGCGGGGAGGAGGGTCGTGGCGTTGGCCTGTGGGGAGAGAGAGGGGAGGAAAGGAAGTGGGGTGTGGAGTCTATTTGAGAGGTGCCTGAGAAAAAAGTGGGGTGTGTAGGGATTGTGGAGGTGGGGAGCAGCTTTTGCTATGACAAGCTAAACCCCGATGATGATTGTCAAATGGCCAGATGACGGTGGCATGTTGACAGTAAGGTTTCGGGTTTAAGGTTAGGGTTTGGGTGGCATGACGACAGTAAGATATCACTCGCACCAAGGCACATGAAGTGAAGTGTCATCCTACTTGAAATATGAGGCGAGTCATGTATGCGAGCAGAAGTATGGAAACAAGCAGATTTTCACCGTTGAGTGGGATGCACGAGGCACACAAGTCAAAGCAGAGAGTCTTGCAGAAGAAGGAAGAAGCGTTCTGCTGAATCTCACAGCTGCTGCCAGCCCTGCCGCATGTCACCCCTGGAGAGGTGATTCTGGAAAGGGCAAGGGGGAGCTTGGGGTGTTGCAGCAAGGAAAAGGGGCAAGGCGAGTGGCGAAAAAAACGTGCAGGCGACGGTGCTGCTAATAGTTGTTTGTTGATTCGTTATGCGAAACGTACTCTCTTAACTCTCCCTTGTTGATTGTGAAAAGGAAAGAAAACGTACACGTACACACGTACACACGTACACACGTACACACGTACACACGTACACACGTACACACGTACACACGTACACACGTACACACGTACACACGTACACACGTACACACGTACACACGTACACACGTACACACGTACACACGTACACACGTACACACGTACACACGTACACACGTACACACGTACACACGTACACACGTACACACGTACACACGTACACACGTACACACGTACACACGTACACACGTACACACGTACACACGTACACACGTACACACGTACACACGTACACACGTACACACGTACACACGTACACACGTACACACGTACACACGTACACACGTACACACGTACACACGTACACACGTACACACGTACACACGTACACACGTACACACGTACACACGTACACACGTACACACGTACACACGTACACACGTACACACGTACACACGTACACACGTACACACGTACACACGTACACACGTACACACGTACACACGTACACACGTACACACGTACACACGTACACACGTACACACGTACACACGTACACACGTACACACGTACACACGTACACACGTACACACGTACACACGTACACACGTACACACGTACACACGTACACACGTACACACGTACACACGTACACACGTACACACGTACACACGTACACACGTACACACGTACACACGTACACACGTACACACGTACACACGTACACACGTACACACGTACACACGTACACACGTACACACGTACACACGTACACACGTACACACGTACACACGTACACACGTACACACGTACACACGTACACACGTACACACGTACACACGTACACACGTACACACGTACACACGTACACACGTACACACGTACACACGTACACACGTACACACGTACACACGTACACACGTACACACGTACACACGTACACACGTACACACGTACACACGTACACACGTACACACGTACACACGTACACACGTACACACGTACACACGTACACACGTACACCACGTACACACGTACACACGTACACACGTAACACACGTACCACGTACACACGTACACACGTACACACGTACACACGTACACACGTACACACGTACACACACGTACACACGTACACACGTACACACGTACACACGTACACACGTACACACGTTACATCACGTTACACACGTACACACGTACCACCACGTACACACTTACACACGTACACACGTACACACGTACACACGTACACACGTTACACACGTAACACACGTACACACGTACACACGTACACACGTACACACTTACACACGTACACCTACACACGTACACAAGTACACACGTACACACGTACACAGTTACACACGTGACACAGTACACACGTACACACGTACACACGTAACACGTACCACACGTTACACACGTACACACGTTACACACGTACCACACGTTACACACGTACACACGTACACACGTACACACGTACACACGTACACACGTACACACGTACACACGTACACACGTTAACAACACGTACACACTACACACGGTTCCACACGTTACACACGTACACACGTACACACGACCACCCGTACACACTGTACACACGTACACACGTACACACGTACACACGTACACACGTACACACGTACACACGTACACACGTACACACGTACACACGTACACACGTACACACGTACACACGTACACACGTACACACGTACACACGTACACACGTACACACGTACACACGTACACACGTACACACGTACACACGTACACACGTACACACGTACACACGTACACACGTACACACGTACACACGTACACACGTACACACGTACACACGTACACACGTACACACGTACACACGTACACACGTACACACGTACACACGTACACACGTACACACGTACACACGTACACACGTACACACGTACACACGTACACACGTACACACGTACACACGTACACACGTACACACGTACACACGTACACACGTACACACGTACACACGTACACACGTACACACGTACGTACACACGTACACACGTACACACGTACACACGTACACACGTACACACGTACACACGTACACACGTACACACGTACACACGTACACACGTACACACGTACACACGTACACACGTACACACGTACACACGTACACACGTACACACGTACACACGTACACACGTACACACGTACACACGTACACACGTACACACGTACACACGTACACACGTACACACGTACACACGTACACACGTACACACGTACACACGTACACACGTACACACGTACACACGTACACACGTACACACGTACACACGTACACACGTACACACGTACACACGTACACACGTACACACGTACACACGTACACACGTACACACGTACACACGTACACACGTACACACGTACACACGTACACACGTACACACGTACACACGTACACACGTACACACGTACACACGTACACACGTACACACGTACACACGTACACACGTACACACGTACACACGTACACACGTACACACGTACACACGTACACACGTACACACGTACACACGTACACACGTACACACGTACACACGTACACACGTACACACGTACACACGTACACACGTACACACGTACACACGTACACACGTACACACGTACACACGTACACACGTACACACGTACACACGTACACACGTACACACGTACACACGTACACACGTACACACGTACACACGTACACACGTACACACGTACACACGTACACACGTACACACGTACACACGTACACACGTACACACGTACACACGTACACACGTACACACGTACACACGTACACACGTACACACGTACACACGTACACACGTACACACGTACACACGTACACACGTACACACGTACACACGTACACACGTACACACGTACACACGTACACACGTACACACGTACACACGTACACACGTACACACGTACACACGTACACACGTACACACGTACACACGTACACACGTACACACGTACACACGTACACACGTACACACGTACACACGTACACACGTACACACGTACACACGTACACACGTACACACGTACACACGTACACACGTACACACGTACACACGTACACACGTACACACGTACACACGTACACACGTACACACGTACACACGTACACACGTACACACGTACACACGTACACACGTACACACGTACACACGTACACACGTACACACGTACACACGTACACACGTACACACGTACACACGTACACACGTACACACGTACACACGTACACACGTACACACGTACACACGTACACACGTACACACGTACACACGTACACACGTACACACGTACACACGTACACACGTACACACGTACACACGTACACACGTACACACGTACACACGTACACACGTACACACGTACACACGTACACACGTACACACGTACACACGTACACACGTACACACGTACACACGTACACACGTACACACGTACACACGTACACACGTACACACGTACACACGTACACACGTACACACGTACACACGTACACACGTACACACGTACACACGTACACACGTACACACGTACACACGTACACACGTACACACGTACACACGTACACACGTACACACGTACACACGTACACACGTACACACGTACACACGTACACACGTACACACGTACACACGTACACACGTACACACGTACACACGTACACACAAAAATAAAGCTTAACGAATGGCGCATGTTGCAGTGCGGGGGGAGATGCAGCGCGGGGGGAGATGCAGTGCGGGGGGAGATGCAGCGCGGGGGGAGATGCAGTGCGGGGGGAGATGCAGTGCGGGGGGAGATGCAGTGCGGGGGGAGATGCAGCGCGGGGGAGATGCAGTGCGGGGGAGATGCAGTGCGGGGGAGATGCAGCGCGGGGGGAGATGCAGTGCGGGGGGAGATGCAGCGCGGGGGGAGATGCAGTGCGGGGGGGAGATGCAGTGCGGGGGGAGATGCAGCGCGGGGGGAGATGCAGTGCGGGGGGAGATGCAGTGCGGGGGGAGATGCAGTGCGGGGGGAGATGCAGTGCGGGGGGAGATGCAGCGCGGGGGGAGATGCAGCTGCGGGGGGAGATGCAGCGCGGGGGGAGATGCAGCGCGGGGGGAGATGCAGCGCGGGGGGGAGATGCAGTGCGGGGGGAGATGCAGCGCGGGGGGGAGATGCAGTGCGGGGGGAGATGCAGTGCGGGGGGAGATGCAGTGCGGGGGGAGATGCAGCGCGGGGGGAGATGCAGTGCGGGGGGAGATGCAGCGCGGGGGGAGATGCAGTGCGGGGGGAGATGCAGTGCGGGGGGAGATGCAGTGCGGGGGGAGATGCAGTGCGGGGGGAGATGCAGCGCGGGGGGAGATGCAGTGCGGGGGGAGATGCAGTGCGGGGGGAGATGCAGTGCGGGGGGAGATGCAGCGCGGGGGGAGATGCAGTGCGGGGGGAGATGCAGCGCGGGGGGAGATGCAGTGCGGGGGGAGATGCAGTGCGGGGGACCAACATTTCAGTGAAGTTGGGGAGAGCACCAAGGGAGGCGGGCAGCGAGCCAGACACGTTGGTGTTACCGATGTCCCTGGGACAGGGCGGGTGTGGGGGCGAGTGAAAGAGGTATCACGGCAGAGAGATGGGAGGAGTAGGTGGGGAGAGGTGGTCAGGACTGGCCGTGGCCGGCCAGACCTGGTCAACCCCTCTTGTCGGGCCGCCCCGGCAAAAACGGACCATCGGCCATGCAATGCAACCATATGCGAGCTGGGGTCTAGTCAGGCTGGCCGGGCCGGGCCGGGTCCGGCCTGGGTCGGGCCAGCCCGGACCAAGGTACACGCACACACGGGTTGATCAGCCTAGTAAGGATCACGCGACACAAGCTGTGGAGATTAGTGTGTGATTTCAAAGATTCCAAAAGTTGATCATGTGGAAAGCAAAAGGTGATCTGAAAAAAAAAAATGGTGGGCTTGAGCCGAGGTACACACACCGTGTTGTTGTGGTCAAGTCGTGTGCGTGTTTGCGCGTGTGCGGTGTGCGTGTGAGCATGTGTCCGTGTGTGTGTGTGTGTGTGTGTGTGTGTGTGTGTGTGTGTGTGTGTGCGCCGCGCGCCGTGTGCATGCATGCATGTGTGACACCCCTCGCATTCTCACATCACAACCCCCCCCCACCCCACATACACATAGTGGAGATTGGCGAGCTGACCAAAAGTATTCGGGATAGCGCCACTGAGGCGAGTGTTGGCCGCTTCGCTGGAGTGGAGCACATTGCCACGTGGGCAGGATGACAGGATGCCAAATGAGTAGATTGTAGACGTATTGTGGTATTCATCCACAGGAGGGGTTCCTTGCTATGGTTCATCATCCTAACCAGGGAACACAGCAAACACGCCATGCAATTGGTGGAAAGGCCTGATGATTTGTTGAGGACCAGAGGACCAAAGGTCTGTTCATTACCACCAAATCCGCCTCCAATGAGGGGCAACCACTCCTGTGAGCAAATATATATATATATATATGTATATATATATGTACATATATATGTATATATATCCAGTCCTCGTTATGGTAGAGCAGAACCTTAAGGCAGGATTATGCACAATGCAAAACAGTCTTGGCAGGAATGGGAGACAGAGAGGGAACTGACAAAAAGGTGAGGGAGGAGAGACCCGAGATGGTAGAGGGGATGGAACCGGAAATGGCAGTGTCAGATAGCATCCTGATGGCAGGTCATGAAGGGTGTGGAGCATAGAGAGAGGAGGGGAGGGCGTGGGTCAATGAAAAAGACACAAAAGGACATATGTGAATGGGGAGAGAGCGAATTGGGAGGGGAATGTTCTGTGAGAATGGCCAGGGTAGAATGCATGTGGTATGGAATGAATGCGAAAGACATGGGATAGCAGATCGCTGATGCTCATGCTGTTGATTGCATGGATGCATGCATGCATCCAATGCTAAGCAGCACCCATGCACAGCAGCACCCATGCACAGCAGCACCCATGCAGATCTTACAGAGCTCCGAGTTTATGGAGTGCAGAGATGGTGGAGGGAATGGGTCCTGAAACATTGGTTGATCCGAGGTTTCTGTCATGTGACACATGCGCCATGTGACATGGTTGGGAGAAGACATGTAACGTGTGCCATGTGGCATGTGGCATGTGGGATGTGGGATGTGATATGGCATGTGGCATGTGGCATGTGCCATGTGGCATGTGCCATGTGGCATGCATGCCATAGGCTAATGAATCAAGCCTGGGGATTGGAGAGAGGTGCTCACAAATGTGTAAGAAGAGAGAGTCGTGAGATGGAAGAGGGGATGGGCCCATCAAATTGATTCTCGGAGAGGTCACTACAGGCAAGGCGGAGGGCAGTGGACAGAGGGCAGAGGAAAGGCGGCAGGGGGCAGAGGGCAGGGGGCAGAGTGCAGAAGGTGGAGAGCAGGAAAATCGAGGTTGTATCAGACATACATCTGTAGCAGGTGTGATCGCCTGGGAGTGGAAGAGTCAAGTGCCTTGAAAAGAAAGTCACAAACCTTGACTTCCCGCCAACATCCTCTCTGCCTACACTGCACTGCACTGTACTTCCTCTCCCCCCATTCTATCCCTCTCTCCAATGCATTGCTCTCTGGGAGCAGCATTTCTCTTTCTAGAGAACGTGCAGCGAATGAAAGGGAACGAGCAGCACAGCACAGACCCAAAGGGAGAGGTTCAGGAAAGGAAGAAGCAGGAGTGAGCAAAGGCGTATGGACGGAAGAAAATCGCGGGAAAAAGGGAGAAAGAGTAGCAGGGCAAGGGCGAGCGCACGGGGGAGGGGGAGGAGGGATCACAGGTAGGTGAGAAGGCTGAAGTGCTGCAGGAAGGAAATAGGTCCGGTCAAGTTGTTTAGATTCAGGGTGCTGCCATTGAGAGCGATGCGACAAAGAGGGAAACAAGTAAGGGCTTTAGGGTTTAGGGTTTGGGGTTCAGGGGGGCGGGGGGGAGAACGACGAGTGAGGGGGGAAGGAACGGGAGAAGCGGAGAAAGGAGATGTAGTGTGAGGAAGAGGGGGGGAGCAGGGGCAGATTCCGGGGTAAAAAACACAGTTTGGATGTGTAACATGAAGTGAAAAGATGTGGGTGGGTGCGTGCTTACAAAAGAAAGGAGTGGAATGCATGTGTGAATGCGAGGACCTGCATGCATGCATACGAGTTTTGGCCCTTAGATTTGAGTTGGGAATTCTCAGCACCAGTCCTACTTTTGGCCCACTCATTTTTGTTTCTTCCCGTAACTTTTGAGAATTCTCAGAAGAAGCTTTCCATGCAAAACCCCAAGTCCCTCACGCACCCACCATCAACACCCCTCTCCCAACCCCCAACCTCCCCCTCCCTTTCCCCCCATCTTCCCTCACTCTCACTGTCCCCAACCTGCAACCCTCACAACCACCACCATCCATCCCACCCTCACACCCCCATCCATCCCAACCTCACACTCCCCACCCGCTCCCCCCTCACAAGCCACCACTCATAACCCCCTCACACTCACCACCCATACCCCCCCCCCCCTCAGGACCCCCAACCATGCCATTCCAGAGTGCATCTGAGCGGCATGACTTGACACGACACGGCACTCTCTTCCAACGCTGGAGTGACTTTCGCATTTCACTCCTGCGACTTCTCTTGTAAGAACCAATTCTTATACATCTATTTTTCCCTTTGGGAGTTGACTTCAGAATTTTTACACACACAAACACACACACACACCCACACACACACACACACCCACACACACACACACACCCACACACACACACACACCCACACACACACACACACACCCACACACACACAACCACACACACACACCCCCACACACACACCAATACAAGTACACACACACCCGCACACACACACCCACACACACACCCACCCACACACCCACACACACACGAGGCAGCCTCACAAATCGGCGAGTCGAGTGAGGCGAGAAAGGGCAGTGGGCACGGACCCATGGACATTTGAGCTGTCCAGATTGCTGCATTGTGATGCGACCACCATGGCCATTCTCCCCTCGCATGCATGCCCACGCACGCCATTATTACGTCACGCCAGAATACAGCACAGCAAAGCCCCAGAATGTCATGGCAGGGAACGGCACGGCAGCATGCAAACTCAAAGTCAGCGCCATTCGATGCCAAGAAGTAAGGTAGGGAGAAGGCAGGTGGGGAGAAAGGTTGAGCATGAAAAAAATCACTTACTAAAAGCGACGCATTACTCACGTACTTCACCCATTCAGGGAGTCAGCGTATGTGTGTGCGTGCATGCATGTGTGTGCGCGCATGTGGATCAACTAATGGTGAGGATGGGGAGAGGGAAAGCAAGAAGAAAGAAGAGGAACGCAAGTAGCACGCGGATGAGATGCACAAGCACATGGAGAGGGGTGACGTTGCGTCACGCACAAGAGAGTGAGGGTGGTGAGGTTTGCAATGCTGGTGGGGATGGTGCCGTTCAGATCTAAGCCTGTTAAGTACCTGCGGCCATGGTGGAGAGAGGAAGGGAAGGTCCGTGGCCCCGGAGTGAGAGTGAGAGTGAGAGTTAAAAGGGGGGGAGGGGAGAGGGGAGCGGGAAACGCAGTTGGAAAGAGAAGGTTGTCAAGGGTGCCAAGACAAAGCAGAGACTCGCATTACCGTACGCACAGCACAGCACGCAGCACACACAGCACACAAAGCACACACAACAACACACAGCCCACACAACAGACCCCATAGCACACAGCGCGGGTACATGAGTCTCACAGGCGCGTGATCATTCCCTCTGCATTGCACTTGACGCTACTATGAGGTAGCGTGCAGTCCCCGCCGGCCGTCCACCCGCTACCCGTCATGTTCCACACCGCCTCGCACTCCTGCAGCACCGCCACTGCCACGCAACGCGGGCAAACGCGCGCAACGCGGGCAACGCGCGCAGCGCGGGCAACGGGGAAAATGAGGCAGGCAGCGCAGATAGCAAGCAGTCGCGATCGGATGGGGTGGGGTGACGCAATGTCGCGGCATGCTGGCTGAACCCACACTGGACTGCCCGTTACTAGTAGTAGTAGTACCGCCGTAACGTGCAGCACCACTGCGCAAGCCCCACCTTGGGACGCTTGTAGCCGAACTGCGCTACAGATGTGCGCAAGAAGCGCCATTGCCGCCACCAACAACACCAGCGCACGCGTGCGCAAAGCATGAAAACCCCCACGCCGCGAATTCATGGTAAAACCCCGGCATTCGCGCGCGCCCCCCTCCGTTTTTCGCGCATCCACACATTTCCGCGGGCCACATCCCAAAGAAACGGCTATCGAAAAGGCTTTAAAGATGAACGTTGCTCTTTCCGCCATGCCTCCCAGTCGCTAGGTTGTCCTATCCATGACTTGTCAGTGCCGCATGTGCGCGCAAACCAAAGGGAAATGCAAGAAGGTCCAAGCTCCCACCCACCCACCCGTCGAAGCTCTCACCCGCCCACCCCGTGCGGAAAACAGTTGTGCCAGCATGGGCGATCTGATCAAAGACGGGCTGAGAAAGGATTGGTTGGGATTGGGAGTTCCAAGCAACACCGGTGGCTGTATTCTGGGTGATGGGGTTTTCGTTTCAGGGGGTATGAGTCTCCGTCATGGTGGAATATCCCAGCGGAAACGGGTCGTCAAGCCTGACGACCCATTGACGACTTGACGACATGCTGCCCCGGGCAGAAAAACAACTAAACCCCTATCGGATGGTATTGCATCCGAGGGAG